TTCCGGCTCAACCCTCATTTCCTTCCGGAGCATGAGTACCCCCAGCCCCTATATGGCATGTTCCTGGTCATTAGCTCCGAGTTTCGCGGGTTCCACCTCCGGTTCCGTGATATTGCGCGCGGAGGTATTCGTATCGTCAAGAGCCGGAACAAGGAAGCCTACAGCATCAATGCCCGCTCTCTGTTCGATGAGAACTACAACTTGGCCAATACTCAGCAACGCAAGAACAAGGATATTCCCGAGGGCGGTGCCAAGGGCGTGATCCTGCTCGACGTGAATCACCAGGACAAGGCCCGTGTCGCTTTTGAAAAGTATATTGACAGTATCCTTGATCTCTTGCTGCCACCAGTCAGTCCTGGCATCAAGGATCCCATTGTTGATCTGTACGGTAAAGACGAGATTTTGTTTATGGGCCCGGATGAGAACACGGCTGAGCTGGTTGACTGGGCCACGGAGCATGCCCGCAATCGTGGTGCCCCTTGGTGGAAGTCTTTCTTCACGGGGAAGAGCCCCAGACTGGGCGGCATCCCACACGACACCTACGGAATGACGACGCTATCCGTGCGACAGTATGTTCTTGGCATCTATCGCAAGTTGAAGATTGATCCCAGCACTATTCGCAAGCTACAAACTGGTGGCCCCGATGGTGATCTGGGCTCCAACGAGATCCTCCTCGCCAATGAAAAGTACACCGCCATCGTGGACGGCTCTGGTGTGATTGTTGATCCCCAGGGGCTCAACCAGGAAGAGCTTGTCCGACTGGCCAAGAATCGGGTCACAATTTCGGAGTTCGACCTGTCCAAGCTTTCGCCCCAGGGTTACCGGGTCTTAGTGGATGAGAGCAACGTGAGATTACCTAGCGGCGAGCTCGTCCACAACGGAATGATCTTCCGCAACCTGTTCCATCTGCGCAATGACCAGCAGTATGACACCTTTGTGCCTTGCGGTGGTCGCCCCGAATCAATTGACCTGTCCACCGTGGGCAAGCTGATTAACGATGGTAAAGCCACCATTCCCTACATTGTCGAAGGTGCCAATCTGTTCATCACACAAGACGCCAAGCTCCGCTTGGAGCGTGCCGGCTGTATCCTGTTCAAGGACGCGTCCGCCAACAAGGGTGGTGTGACCTCGTCTTCCCTGGAGGTTCTGGCTTCGTTGTCTTTCGATGATGCCGAGTTCGTGGAGAACATGTGCATTCGTGAGGACGGCACGGTGCCCACTTTCTACAGCGAATATGTCAAGCAGGTTCAAGAAGTGATCAAGCAGAACGCCACTCTCGAATTTGAGGCTATTTGGCGCGAGCATGAGCAGACCGGTGTGCTCCGTAGTGTGCTCAGCGACCAGCTTAGTATCGCGATCACCAAGCTTGATGAGGAGCTTCAAAACACCGAGCTGTGGGATAACGTCGATCTCCGTCGCTCGGTTCTCCACGATGCTCTTCCTAAGCTGCTTCTAAACAAGATCGGTCTGGACACTATCCTTCAGCGTGTACCGGAGAATTATCTGCGGGCTATTTTTGGTAGCTACCTCGCCAGTCGGTTTGTTTACGAGTATGGTAGCAGCCCAAGCCAATTCTCTTTCTTCGATTTGTGAGTTACCTGCTCCTCTTGATGCTGCCTTGGCAGACTTTGCTAACTTAATTGACAGCATGACCAAGCGACTTGCGCAGCTTTCCCAGGCGTAAACGTGATTTCTAGACGAATATACATGGGTCTTCCTTGATTCTTCCAGTGCGATGATATGCATCTTCCGGGTTATACCTGCTGCACATATGCAGTTTGTTATGGATATATTAATTATGTGTGGATGTCAGTTGTTTTGTGGAATACAGAAAAGCTGTTAAGAGCCTAGCCTAATCAAGCGATTTATTCATCTTCAGGACCTTTGGTCTCTTCTCTTCTTCCATTCATTAATCAATCTAGGACGTCTTCCCGTAGCGTGGGCAGGTTTGGAAACTTGTATGGTGTGCAAACTACGACCAAGAGCAAGAGATCTTGACTAATTATTTCTTCAGTGTCGCTTGATCGTAATGCAATTGACCTTGCTGCCAGAATCTCGCGAGTGCGTACACGTGACACATCTGCGTGGCATAATGGCTGCATTTGAAGCAACGGGCGCACGCTCGCTCCGCCGGTCGTCAATGAATCGCTAAACCGCTAAATCGCATTGGACGCACAAACAACAGCGCCCACGGAAAGGACACGCTCTACTTACGTCTAAATGTCAATCTCCTTCATATCGATATTGAATTGTGGCCCCTCGTCATGCTCGATGCGTTCGATCTGCTCCAGTTGCGCCCACAGCTCGGGATACTTGGCTCGGGCCCACCTCTCGACCTCATCTTTCCAGTGTTGGTAGGGAATCACATTGTAGAATTGGCCGATCCTAAAAGGGCACGTTAGCAAAATCACGTGGACGTGACAGCAGAAGAAGCAGAAGATGAGAGGAATGAAAGTGTCTAGGGGAGGGGGATGAACTAACGAGTTGCGGGTCGGCTTGAGGCCAGTCTCGGCCTCCATCTTCTCCAGGGCCTCGGTGGCGAGGTCAAATTCGCAGTGGGCGGCTAAAGCTTTGACATACGCCATGTACAGTTGACGGTTGCGCTCGATGCCCAGCAGCTTGACCTTGTCCATCATCTTGAGAGCCTCCTCCACACCGTTGTTGTGCCTGGCGCATGTCTCGAAAAAGATAGGGATGGTCTTATGGGACGGACCCTCGTCCGACTCCAGGATGCTTCGGAAAACTTTCATTGCCTGCTCGGGCATGTCGCAGGAGGCGTAGGCGAGCATGAGCCCGTCGAGCACGCGCGTGGTTAGGTCGACTTCGACGTCGAGTTTGAGCATGTTGTGCACGAGCTGGAGGTGCTTTGCGGACTGGGTGCGAGCGATGCCGACGAAACAGCGCGCGTATGTGTCAGGCTTGGGCCGTCGGGCGAAGTCCTCGGCCTGTCGCATGTGGCCGAAAACGAGGTAGGCGAGGTCGCTGCGGTGGCGTTTGAAGAAGGAGGTCATGATATCGGTGCGCGAGCGGACGCCGGTTTCCGGGAAGGCCAGCAGCAGCAGGTTATATGTCTCCCAGGCATCGGAGTCCTTTTGCTCGAGGTCCAAGATGAATCCGGTGAGCGAGTTGCGGATCGTCGCCCGTTCTTCCGTGTCATACAGCCCAAGGCGTGGCCGGAGCAGTGCCGAAACGCCCTCCCAGTCGAGTCGGTAGAGTAACATGCGTGTAATAGCTGCCACAGTCCCTGCCTCTAGCCGTACGTTGTTCTCAAACAACGGGTCCAGGAAGGCCGAGATGCGGTCGAATATCGCATCGTCCTGGCCCGATCGGCAGAGAAGTCTGATTAACTTGTTCATTAGTGACATGTTAGCGGTCGCCATGGCTTCCGGATCCTGCAGATCGTCCATGGAGCGCAATGCCCTCCCAGAATCACCCGCCAGAATGTAGGTTTCCAGTTGCAAAAGCTGCGTTCTCGCGTTGGGTTCGAGAGCCCAGTGAGAGGCTAACGCAGCAAAATCTACAGCTAGGGCAGGGTTTTGTATCGTGTTTGCGTACTCTATCAAATCATTCACACATGAGATAGTCAGCGCCTTTCTAGCATTCTCGTCGCCCGCAATCATGAGATTGGCTTTATCTGAGACGGCAGTTGCACTCTGCTTTTGCACCCCTTCCCAGAAGAGGGCGATGCCCAGAGTCTTGCAGACCGGCATGTTGGAAAGTGACTCGAACACCGATGCTGCCCACGCGGTATCAGAGTTCAACGTCGCATATTTGATTACGGCCTCTCTCACGGCCACTGTGGGCGTTTGCCCGTTCGACAGAGGACATTCATAGATCGTTTTCGTCGCGGTAAACAAGTCCTCTTCGATAAGAAGCTTAACCAGGTCTTCATGAGATCTGTGGTCGAACTCGACGTCGAATTTCTCAAGATTCTCAGCTGTCCGTTCTAAACGGCGCTTCTCACCAACCATAGCAAATCCCTTCATAACCACATGCCAAGGAGTCGGGCGAGCCATCTTCAGCCTAAACCAGAAACGCTCTAGAACGTCGCATGCTTCATCAGGGTGGCCATTCAAGGCCTGTATGTTAATATACGCAATGAAAGCTGACCGACTGATATGTTTCATATTGGGCGACGGATCCCGGCACAATTCCGAAAAGGCAGCACGAGCCAATTTTCGCACAATCGGTTGTGATTCGGGTAAACACTTGGCCTGTGATAGGATAAAGAGCATATTTTCGAGAGCCTCAGTCGACAACGTTTTCTGCCATTCCTCGGCGTTCAATTCTTCCGCATGAGTTCGCATGTAGTGCCAGGTGACGGAGAGCAGGGTGGCATGGAAATGCGTGACGACGCTGGGGGAAGCAGCGCGTTGCCCCAAAAAGTCGTTCAAGGCATTGGCTAGGATTTCAAAGGTAGGCCCTCTGCTTTTATCGGCCATTGACCTCATGAGGTCTCTCATAGGCTTTAGGCCAATCTCGGAGGGCAGAGTTGTAGACTGCGGGCTAGTCGTTGGGGCCACATTGTACGCGAAGAGCCCGCGTCGCTGGCCATGGTAGCTGGTCAAAAGATCGAGCTTGCGAGACCGATGATTCCGGACTGTATGCAGTGAGCGATGGAGGCAGCGCGAGAATGAAAGCGGCTCATTGTTCAGAATTGCCCGAAAAACTCGCCGGGTGAGGTGGGATTGCATTTTGGGCGTTGCGGTGCGGTGCGGTGCGACGTAGAGCACCTTTGGTGGTAGTGGACAAAAACAGTACTAATCAGCGAGAGGAGAATGCAGGTAAGAGACGAGAGCTTGCCAAGATATCCTTGACCATGACTTAGAGCAAAGAAGTCTGCAACCTGAGGCCGTTGGATAGTTTGAATTATCGGGGAGATGGATGGGGACGCAAAAGATGCGAAGGAGGAGGGCGGAAGGTCCGATTATTCTGTCGGAGGCGGCTCTTGGCGGTCCTCCCGAAAAGCCGAAAATCGATCTCACCTTCACCCTCATTCTCTCTGGTCTGAAACGCAAGCCACGGACACTCCCAGTTGCCTTTCCTGATAATAGATAATGGCACTCCACCTGTTCTCCTGGTCGCCGCTGCGCACCATCGGCTCAACCTTCAATGCTGCGTCCGCTCGTCGCTGGAACTGGACCGCTGCTCCAAATGCTGCCGCAACTGCTGAGCATATTTCGATTCTAAATAACAATAGTATGTGACCTTGCTGCATGATGCTTCTCTCGGCCCTGCGCCAGGCTTGTACCTCCCTACATGCTTATCCTTAGCGGATGGCATCGCTGACTGTCCTTTGTCGCATTGTAGCGCAACGGACATCCCGTCGCCGAGCCCGTCGGTTCATCGAAGAGCAGAAGGCTATCAACGAAAGCCGTCCCCTGGAGAGATTTCAGACCCGTGAATGGAAGGCTGGTGATATCTATGCTCCTCACGATCTCAGTCCTTCGCAGATGAGGAGGTGGAAAGAGCGTCACTCCCCGTCCACAGATGTCTTCGACTCTCTGAACTTGAATCCCTTAACTATGTACAAGGTACGTGAGACACGGACGTCAACGGTGAGGCCGTGTAGGCAGTCTAGAAAGCTCTGCTAAGAGGGATTCGCGCCTGACAGAACTTCTCGATCATGTCCGAATACATGACCCCCATGGGCCAGATCAAGCACCGCAATGAGACCGGTCTGCGCCCAGTCAACCAACGGAAAATGGCCAAGGCTATCCGTAGAGCAGTCGGGCTTGGACTGATGCCTAGTGTCCACCGGCACCCGGAAATTCTGGCCGCTCAGGTTCAGTCACGTTTGGAGGGAGGTAGCACGTATTAAGAGATGCACTTCGAGTTATCGCATCGATGGTGTCGGCGGCTGGGCCTGGCTTGTTCTTTTTATTCCCTTCTGGACATTGTTTCATATAGTCAGTTGATATGCTGTAAGATGATTTTGAATTCCGGGCGGTGTCCATGTACAGTACTGTACTATCTCTCTACTATGCCTTGACGTGAGGCATCGGTAGCGCATAACAATTAGTAACTTGCCTTTTCACAAAGCAACTACAGGTCCCAATGATCTGTACGGGATCAACGAGGTTTTACATCGACGGAAGGTAAGGTAAACATCATGGATTGAAAAGCATAAGAGTGGAGGGAGCGAACAGCGAGCGGCAAGTAACCTAGCTTGTTGTATACTATAGATTGTCCACGGTATCTCCGGCCCACACCCAATGCGTACTACGTCAACAATAAACATTCCCCGCCCACCACATCCCCTCTCCTCGTTCCATCTTTCCCCTAAATCCTAATCCCTCCTCTCTCCATCTGTGCTGCCCTTTCAAGTCAGAGAACCCCTTTCTATCACACAGTCACTGATATTGTCTGCTGGATCAGCCATGTCAATCACCAATGGTCTGCCCTCTTCTGATCCTGTTGGCTATGCCGAGCCCCTCAGCTGACTCTGACTTCCCTCCATAGAATCGATCTGGGCTGCGAACCCCACCACCACGAGGGGCCAGCCCACTCAACTCTCGTCGGACGCCAAAGGTGAACGGCTTGCATATGCGGTATGTCCTAATCAGACATTGGTGATGGGGACGATGCGCAGGCGCTGACGATTGCTTGTCGGTACGCTGCACAGGCCAATAAGTCCATCTTCTTGCGCTCCATCGACAACCCCTCGATCGCCAGACAGTACACCGAACACAAGGCCCAGACAACAGTCGCCCGTTTCTCCCCCTCTGGCTTCTATGTGGCGAGTGGTGATGCGACCGGTATTGTGCGGGTTTGGGACTGTGTCGGAGATGGCATCACCAAGGGTGAATACAGCATTGTGAACGGCCGCATTAACGACCTTGCCTGGGACGGCGATTCCCAGCGCATCATTGCGGTTGGTGACGGCAAGCAGCGATATGGGCACTGTATCACCTGGGACAGTGGTAACACGGTCGGCGAGATTTACGGGCACACACAACAAATCAACTCCGTCTCTATCAGGCAACAAAGACCGCTGCGGGCCGCCGCCGCCGGTGACGATAAAAACCTCGTCTTCTACCACGGCGCGCCGTTCAAGTTTAACACAGGCATACGAGACAAGCACACCAATTATATTTATGGTGTTGGCTTCAGCCCCGATGGCTCAACCCTTGTCAGTGTCGGTGCTGACCGGAAGATCTGGCTCTACGACGGCAAGACTGGCGAGCCGAGAAGTCAAATTGGAGAAGGAGAGCACAAAGGAAGCATCTTCGCTGTCTCGTGGGCGAAAGATTCGCGCAAGTTTGTGACTGCCAGCGCTGACAGGACTGTGAAGATCTGGGATGTGGAAGCGGGTAAGGTTACCCAGAGCTGGGATATTGGAGAAGAAGGGATGTCAAACGTCGGAGATCAGCAAGTTGGAGTGGTGTGGCCTCCGGCTAGAAGTGATAACCTGCTCATCAGTCTCTCGTTGAGCGGGGATCTGAACTACCTGGTGGAAGGCACTCCCAAGCCCCGGCAGGTAATCCAGGGCCATCAGAAGAACATCACGTCCCTGACCCAGCTCCGCTCTGGCAGCGACACGGAAACATTATGGTCGGGCAGCTTTGATGGAAGGGTCTGCCATTGGGACGTCCCGGCGGGAACTGCGGAAGAGGTGGAAGGAGACGGCCACACAGCCTACATTGCCGGTCTTGCTCCGACTCAGGAGGGCGCCGGACGCATCTACAGCGTCGCTTGGGATGACACGATTCGATCTGTTGATCTTGGTGCTAAGACCTACACCGGCGTCTCGTCCAAGTTGTCTGGCCAACCCAAGGGGATCGCGGCTGCAAAGGACAAGGTGGTAGTAGGGACAACCGAGAGCGTGGAGATATTTCACGATGGGCACAAGACCGGCGAGTTCAAGCCTCAGTTCGCCGTGACGACAGTTGCAGCCCATGGGGGCTTGGCTGCGATCGGTGGTGAGGACTCGTCCGTCCAGATCTGCGACATCTCAGCCCAGGGATTAACCCCCAAGACCGAGTTCAAGGCATCGCGGAACGCAATCTCGGCCTTGACATTCTCCCTGGACGGATCGCTCCTGGCCGTTGGGGATTCCCGGGGCCGTGTGCTGGTCTACAAGGCTGCCGATGGCCAACTGGTCACCGACCGATGGACGGCGCACACCTCCCGAGTTACCTCCATCGCGTGGAACGAGGACAATACCCATGTTGTTAGTGGAGGCCTCGACACCAACATCTTCGTGTGGAGCTTGACGAAGCCGGGAGACTGGCTGCAAGTCTCCAATGCCCACAAAGAGGGCGTGAATGGAGTCGCTTGGATTGCAGGCGGATCTAAGATTGCATCGGCCGGAGCGGATGCAGCGATCAAAGTGTGGAAGGTGGAAGGATTGGCATCATGACTGTCTTTGTATGGATGGGTCTTAGTTAGAGAGGCTTTTTGACAAATCTTCTTGCTTTTCGTACACTGTGCATACACACATACACATACACCTACACCTACTGTACATACAATAAACAACCTAGTCTAATTGCGTTCTGGTTCGACGCCCACCTGGGTACTACTACGTAACTACGTAGGTCATGGGTAAGGTAAGTTATTACTCTCGTATCAAGGTTAGCAGGTCAACAACACACAATTGGTCGGATGACCAGCTCTCCACCGCCCGCGCCCGGTCCGGGCGTTATTCAAGCTTCCCCATTATTCATTATTCATCGTTCCATCCATTCCAATCGGTTTGTCCTTTCTTTCTTTCCAGTTGGTCTACTACGAAGTGACTACAAGTGGTAGTGGTAGTAGGAAGTATGGTCCGGGCGCTGGTTCTCTTGTGTCCATTGCCCTGCCAGACCTGCTCCTCCTCTCTCTCCACCACCACCACAAAACCGACTGTTTGTCTTCTTCTTTCCCTCTTTTCCTTTCTCCTACCCTTATTTTCTGGTGCCCATTTGGCTTCTTCCTGACGCCAGTACCATGAAGTGATAAGATGTCTCGGTCTGGGGACTTATCAAGCAACGCCCGTCGCATTTTACGCCCCAAAAAGGTTAGCCAGCCATAGTCCGATCAGCCATGATGAAAATGATCAGCTTCTATCCTCCCCCAGAACTTACGGTGATTGACCCTTTTCCTTTTCATCATGAAATTAGCTACGATATGCGACCTTCGTCCTCCCACGAACTGGTCAGCGACTGAAAGGTCTTATTCATCTCCGAAATCCGGATTCCGGGTTGAATGGCAACAGCGATGACGACGAGCGCCGAGCGCTTCTGACCGGCGAGATTGCTGCCCCTCGCGAAGGTCTACTGGCGCGTCTGTGGGGTCATACCATAAGTATTGGTCCACAAGCGCATGGATTTATCTCGTCAGAACTGGGGATCGGCGTCTTGAAGTGTAGTCTAGCTTATTTGCTTGGCTCCCTCGCAACCTTCGTGCCCGCTATATCCTCATTCTTGGGCCACCAAGATGGCAAACATATGGTGGCTACGGTCACTGTTTACTTCCATCCTGCGCGATCGCAGGGGAGCATGTATAAAGCCTTGATCTGTGCATTTGCCGCTTTCCTCTACGCCGCTCTCGTCTCCGTAACCAGCATGTTTGTCTCGATGTTTTTTCAAGACACCTTAAACATGGTTCTCCTTGGTCACGCCGTCGTCTTAGTCGTGTTCTGTGGAGGTGGCCTGGGCTTCATTGGATGGACAAAGCAGAGGTTTGGTGACCCTCTTGTGAACGTCGCATGCTCGTTGGCGTCGCTTTCCACCATCACGGTGTTGACAAAAGAGGGCGCGGTGCAGAGTGGTGATTTGTCATTTGCAAAGATTTCCCAAGTCCTGAAGATGGTGGTCATGGGAGTAACGGCCTCCATGGCAGTATCTTTTCTGATATTTCCGATCTCGGCACGAAAGCAACTGCGGTCAAACCTCACTACGGTCACGGAGACCTTGGCAACAATGCTGGCTTTGATCACCGAGAGCTTTCTGAGTGGCTCGGAAGAGGAGCTTCAGACGGCGGAATTTCTCGAGACCGCCGCACGGCATAAAAAAGCGTACGGTCAGCTGGACAAGCTTGTGCGTGAAGCTAAAATGGAGCATTTCGTTGTAGGTACCGAAAAGGAATACAGACTAGAAAAGACACTGGTCCGCTGGGTCCAGGATATCACACACAATCTAGGTGGTTTGCGCAGTGCTGCTCATCTACAGTTTCAGCTGCTCAAGCAAACCCAAGCTACCGAGACTGCACACCAGGCCTCGGATGTCAATTTTGGACTCGGTGCTGGTCCGCTACCCAGTCCCTGGTCATTACACGAGGACCGTCCGCTTCTGGAACCCATCTACGAGAGGCCAGAAGAAGACATGTTGGAGGCAACGGGCGGGGACGAGTTCGATTTCAATGCAGGGAATGGTACCAGTCCTGAAGCCGAACAAGCTCTCCACCCGGCGGACATCTTTGCTATATTTATCAGCCATCTGGGGCCCTCAATGGTAAGCGCTTCTGACAAGGATAGTACCACCGTGATGCATGCTGATGATTGTCCTAGAGATCTCTAGCGTTCACGCTGAAGGAGATCTTTCGCGATATTCCTTTCAAGCCGGAATCTGGCTATCGAGTATCAATCAATAGCAAATACCGCTCGAGTCTTGATAGAGCGCTGCTATTATATCGAGATTCGCGAGAAGAGGCGCTCAAGACCATTTATCGGCAACGAGAAGTCCTCGGAATCCAGACGCTGGAAGTCGAGGCTGACCTGGAGGAGGTGTCTGCCAGCTGCGGGCATTTCAGTTTTTCGTTGCTTGAATTTGGAGAGCAGCTGAAAGAGCTTCTCGCCATCTTGGATGAGCTGCAGCTTGAGAGCGAGGAGAGGCCCGGTGGCCGATCATGGAATTGGCTCAAGTTCTGGCGCTGGGCCTTCGAGGGACGAGCAAAGAGGGACATGTCGGATGCCACGATGGAGCAGGCCCATCTAGGCGAGCCCAACCTCCTCAAGCCGCCTGGTGGTTCGAGCGGGTCATCCAATGTCACCGCAATCAGTCTTGCAAAACAGAGAATTGGTTATCGTTTGTGGCGCTCCCTTGGGGTTTTCCGCCGGGACGACACCAAGTTTGCGATCAAAGTTGGCACTGGCGCAGCCCTTTATGCCCTGCCTGCATTCATCCCGTCCACTCGACCAGTTTACGGCCATTGGCGAGGCGAATGGGGTTTGCTCTCGTACATGTTGGTTTGTTCTATGACTATTGGAGCCTCGAATACGACGGGATACGCACGTTTCCTCGGTACCTGTTTGGGCGCAGGTTGTGCGATCCTCTCATGGTATGCCACGGACGGAAACGTTTTTGGCCTCGCAATTCTAGGCTTGCTCATGGCTAGTTGGAACTTCTACATCATCATCGTGCGAGGTCAAGGGCCAATGGGCCGATTCATCATGCTGACATATAACCTCTCGGTTCTCTACGCCTATTCACTTACTCAGAAAGAAGGCAGGAATGATCAAGATGAAGGAGGGGACAGCCCCATCATCACCGAGATTGCCCTGCATCGTGTGGTTGCTGTTCTATCGGGCTGTCTCTGGGGTATTATCATAACGAGGTTGATCTGGCCGATCAGTGCACGAGAGAGGCTAAAAGACGGACTGAGTCTGCTCTGGCTTCGCATGAGCTTGATCTGGAAGCGTGGCCCCTTGTCCACTATGGCCAACCCGAAGGAGTCTGCGGGATTCATGAGCGCGCGGGAGAAGCTAGAAGTCGAACGATTCCTGTCACATCTGGAGTCTTTGCAAGCCTCCGCTCGTTCAGAGTTTGAGCTGAGGAGTGCTTTCCCCGATGCTAGCTATGGCAATATCCTTCGTCGTACGCGCAGCATGGTGGACGCTTTCGTCGCCATCAACCTAGAACTGGTCAAAAACATGACGGCGTCCGAGGGAGAGTTATCTATCTTAAGGTACACTGTGAAGGAGAGGCAGCAGCTGTCTCATCGTATCAGTCATTTGCTGACAGGTAAAGTCCGATATTAGCAGAGGAGGCAACGAACCACTACTGACATTCAACCCCTCAAACAGTTATGGCCTCTTCCATGAAGCTGGAGTATCCTCTAAGCGATGCTCTGCCGAACGTTGAGCACGCCCGAGATCGACTCCTGGCGCGTCTTTTTCATTATCGTAAAGACCCTGAGGCATCTCGAATGTCGACCGACGAAGACTATGCTCTGTTGTATGCATACGGTATGTTCTTTGACCTGCGGAAGTCACCCTCCACCATGGCTAAATCTAAACTTAGTGCTGGTGGTGGGACAATTGTCCGGAGAAATCGAAGCCATTCTTGGGGAAATTGGTCGTCTTTTCGGAGTTCTGGATGAGGATGCAGTGAAGTTGTATGCTTAGACGTCGGCTGGCGGTAGGACCAAGCGCCCGGACTGTAGAGAGGAATAGCTTTGAAAAGTGAATTCCACGTAGAGGATCAATGAGAAAAAAGATAAACAACTCGGTCTCTAATTCTTCTGTCGTGCTGCGATTTCACAACTGCGACATTTGGTGGGGGCGAGTAAGACGTAGACGTAGATTGGATCAATCGTTTGCGGATTGTCGGAAAGTCCAACAACTTCTCCGTCGCCCTCTCACATAACTCACTCTTCCTCATTCCCTCTCCCCCCGCTGTTTATTACCATTTCCCATCAACGCGCCCCGTCTTAGCCTGCTCTTTCCCAACAATCTCTCACGTACTTTCGTCTGTACGATTGCCTAGAACTCAGCCCGCATCTTGATTAAGATTGAATGGGATGAGTTCCTCTGCTTCATGAAGGCCTAGTCCCTCCTCCCACCCTCTCCCCGGCTTCGCGCAGCCCCCCCGTGCCCCGTCGCGCTTCCGCGAGCACCGCAACCATGCAGATCGACCCAGCTGCTCTGAGTCGGCCAGACTCTGCAGCTACCACAATTACCTCGTCCAAAGGTTCTGCGGCCAGTGCTCCAGCACAGCAGAAGTCGACCAAGGCGCTCATCGCCGTTCCGCGACTTGACCTTGAACCTGTCTACACGGAGCTCAAAGCCGCCATCGGCGACCACTGGGCCGATTATAAAGAGTCCACCACTCTGTTCCTCCTTGGTGAGTTGGACATGATAAAACTGGCCCCAACACTGAACGACTATGGCCTCTGGTTTTCTACAACCACATTCACGGTGCCGTCTTGTACGGTCGTATCTATGTGACCCCACATCTCCGCTTTGCCTCCATTCAGGTCGCAAGACTGACTTCTTTTTTTTTTCCGATGAGCAGGACAACTGAATCAAAGTGAACTGTCATCGCGCGTCGATCATATCATATGCGCCGACCAAAAAACCGAGCACCTCCACAATAACTTCATCTGCGCGATCATCGGAAACTTGACCCGAGATCTTCCCGACCCTGGAGTCGCTAGTTGGGTATCCGCAAATGACAAGCCCTCAATCGTATCGAAACCGACGTCGGGGGACGCTGCCGAACAGAGACTCAAAACAGAGGTTATGCAGCTGCCTCCGCGGGACCGGCGCAGACTTAAGGCTATACCCGAGGTAGGCAGCTCATCTATCGATATGTGGCTGACCACGCCATATAAATTTGATTGTACAAGTCTAACATGATGTGATGCTCTACTGGCGCAGCGTGATCCCAATGATACCTCGTCCAATGATTTGGTAGAGTACCACCTGGCGAAGCAGATCAAATTACCGAGCCAGGTACCTGCCAGCGCCGGGGGTTTAAACAAGACAAGTAGGTCTCCTGCTTTACGGATAACTCGACTCTTTGTTCTGCGATGAGAAGCTCACTCCTCTTAATCGCGATAGATTGGGAGCTGGAAATCCGAAAACGTTATGCACAACCTCTAGCATCTGAGACCGGCGAGTTTCCAGATGCCGAATCAATCCATGCACGCATGGTTCCTATATGTTACGAAGAGTCCATAGTCAGTGGCGCAAGCTTACCCTGTGCGGAGTACATGGCCATTGCAACAGAGACGTTCGTCAAGGAAGTCTTGTCAGTGGTTTTCTCGCGAACCAGGTCTAACGGCCCGTCGGGAACCATCAATGGCATGATGATGCGCAAATATCGACAACAGCTAGAACGAGAAGAATTGGCATTTACGAGAGGCGAAATTGTCAAAGACAGTGCAACCGGATTATTGCCTATTGAAGCTAAAGAGGCAAGTGTCCGAAAGCCACTGGGGATCCGGGACCTGCGGCTAGCACTAGAACTCGGCAGCGGTGTTCTCAGTCATATGCCCCTGCTTGTGGACCAGATTATGGGCGGCTATCTTGAAGATGAACACGAGGCAGAAAGGCATGATCTAATTGATGACGTTGTAGAGATCACGAATGACGACTCTGGGCAGGAGATGGACATTGACGACATCGACTCGGATTGGGAGGGAGGCACAACGGCTGATAGGGAGCACTTGGGTGCTTTGTTGGATGAGTGTCTATCCATGGCCGCGTGAACTATCCTCCCTCTCGCCCCCTCTTTCTTTTCTCCATTCCCCCCCCCCCCGTTTTCTCTCCATGTATACACTGCGTCAACCGCTGACCCATTCTCTACTTCCTGTCTCTTTTCTTGTTCTGCTTTCACAGCCTTAAGCCGCTTGATATCCGTTGCTTTCATTGCGTTGCACCTTTATGCCTATTTTCCCCCCATGATACACACACATTCATACACATTTCGATCTGGATTCACCAAAGATTGGGTTCAGCATCTTGGATCTGGCGGAGCGTCAAGGCGTCTTGGGAGTCTATAAGGTATGCCGCTATGGCGCGCGACCCTGTCATTTCTGCATTTGGCATGGAGTTCACAGATGTTTCTGCTTTTTTGTTTTTTTTGTTGTTGTTTATATTGACCTCTGTTTCCCTGCTACTCCAGTATATTGCTTCTTTCTCTCTTGCTTTCTTACCTATGATCACTATTTGGGCAGTTGGTCTTGTTCAATGTGACAAATCATCTTTCTTGGCTGAGAAGCCAACGCAGTGTTACCTACTGTGCCTTGTCATAACAGCTTCAGTCTCACACAGTGACATCAAATGTCTTTACTGGTTGCGGCCCACTTGAGAGGTGACTGTGACCGGTTCGGGGACACCCTGAGCTTGCCCGCTACGATCATCCGAGCTGCTCTAAGACCCCACGGATTGGTCAATCCTGAGACAAACGAAGACAGGAACTGGACATTCTATGCATGGCTGTGAGGCTGTGGATGCAAGGGATCACCCTGCGAACCTGGCGATGTTATTCTTGTTTTGTCTATGTACTGTACATTAACTGCTGGCACCGCGCAAATCTGCTGGCACCGCCTGATTGTAGGTCATTCCGGGGCCGCTCTAATCAAATAACGATGACTTATGACCTTCAAGACATTTCAAGTCAGCTGCGATCGAGTACCCTGCTGACCAAACGAGCTTGTTTGACTGATGAGGCTTGTAGCCGTGATGCGTCTCCACGTCGATCTCGGGCGTTGCTTGGTAGGCTTGTTGTCACTAGAACCGAACTTGAGTTGGGGGTGAAAGGGTTGCCCAAGCGCCGAAGTCCGTTCATTGAGTGAGACGGTCGGCAACCATTTTGAGAATTTCCTCGGTTGACTTGCGCGCATTGGACGGGTCTTTGGATACCGATTGCCAGACTTCGCCGTGCTTCGGTTCGGTCGTGCTACATTTAGCCACGACATCTGCTCGTTTCTCCTGCACACAGATAGAGAGTCAGTTTCTGGATTACTCAAAATCAAAAGAAGAAGGGAAAGGGTAATTGAAAGTCGGAAAAGGGGACTACGAAAGAAAAGAGGTTCAATCGTACCTCTGTACCGTGCTGCAACAGGAACTTATAATACCAAGCCCACCCGTCGCCCAAGTCACTGTCGGTGACAATGGCCTTTTCGAACCAGGTCATCGCCTTTTCCAGTCGACGCTCCCCCCAAAAGATACGAGCCACCGTGATGAACAGAATCGGGTCGTTATCGGCCTTCTTGATAGCCTCCAAGCTGCGGGCCTTTCTCTGCGAGCGAGGCTCGAGGTGCCAAATACTTTCGCTCCATAGCAGGCCAGATGTGGGGACCTCTTGCAGGGCTTTGGCCATCAAGACCTTGGCCTGAGCGATGTTGTTAGCACGTCGTTCCACGCGAACACTCTCGGTCCACAATTCCGGGCTCTTGGGCACTGCAAGGCGGGCGCGGTCTAGAACCGAGCGAGCTTTGACGACCGCCCCGGCCTTTTCTTCCAGCCGGGAGGCCAGCAGCCAGAGCGGTACCGACTTGGGGCACGCTCTGGTACCTGTTCCATAAGCCTCCCTCGCCTGAGGATACTTGTTCTGGGCTTCGTAAATCTGGCCTTTCATCATCCATAACTTGTCAGCTTTAGGGTAGAGTTGGAGACCTTGATTGACGAGGTCAAGCGCCTCGTCAACGTTGCCCAGTTGCCGCTCAAATGCGACACTCTTGACCCACACACGATCCGTCCCTGCTTCACGGCGGGCCGTGGAAAGAAGCTCTCGAGCCTGGGCTGTCTGGTCGGCATCAGCCTCCAACTTGACGGCAGCCAGCCAGATGTCTTCGTTGTTCGGGTTCTGATTGAAAGCACGGCCGAGCACTCGTCGGGCATCGTCGATTTCTCCCGATTGCCATTTCTCTTTAGCAAGCTGCAACCACAGCTCCTCGCTTTGTGGACAGGCTTCCACGGCCTTTTCAAGCACCTGCCACAGTGCTTCTTTGCTACCGTGGTTGCGCTCGAGGTCAGCTGCCGCCAGCCAGATCGACCGGCGATTGACGAAAACACGGAGTGCATAGGCATAGATAGCCCTAGCTGTTTCGTACTTGCCGCGGGCAATACTAGCCTTGGCATCCTCCATCCAGATGTCCTTACGGTCATCATCCTCGTCGAGACCCCATCCGAGAGTCTCGCGGATAATAGCGCCGCAAGTGAGGATGGCACCCTCCTCCTCACATTTCTCAGCCTCGGCAATCCATTCCTCCCTCTTAAGCATCGCGTTCTCTCTTGCCAAGCTCTGTACAGCCCTCTTCATAACGTTGACCTTCTCGGATGTACCCATTTGTTCCTGCAACCTCGCGGCTGCGACCCAGACTTCATGGCTGGTAGGGACGGCTTTTCGAGCAGCATTAAGAACCTTCTGCGCATTTTCAGGGGTCTCGAGGCGCGCCAGAGCAAGCCAAAGCTCCACTGACAGAGGTACGATTTCAACTGCTTTTGCGAGAAGGAGACGTGCATCTGCTGGGTCTTCCTCCAGGTTGACGGCCTCCTTCCAGATGACAACAGACTGAGGAATGTGAAGAATCGCTTGTCTGAGCACATTCTTTTTGGCCCGGGGCTCGGTTTCCAGTCTCATCGCCTCAATCCACAGTCTTGTTGACCGGTCGTTGTTCTTGATCGCGTTTGCAGCTATAACCTTGGCGTTATGTCCTTCGTTGAGCCGGATGTTCTCCAGCCAGGCGTCTTCACTTTTCGGGCATAATTCGCAGCCCTTGGCGATGACATTCCTGGCCGTCACAACTCTACCGGCAAGTTCTTCCAGACGAGCCAGAGCAATCCACCCTGGAGCATGCTTGGGGTTTGTCTTCGTTACTGATTCTAAGAGAACACGAACCCGCTTGATGTCGCCGATTTCCACCTCGCCCGCCTTGAGCTCCGACTGGGTGAGGCTTGTAAGATAGCCCTTAGGGTCGATGTTGGTGGCGCTTCCGGAGGCTGAGTCGCCCGAAGAGCCCATCGCAGCTTGATCCAGTCTGACCTGTAGCACCTTGTCACGCGCGGCACTTATATTGGCAAAATTCGTTATCGTTCCATCCGCGCTTTCTGCTCCTCCCGCGGCGGCACTGGTCTGCGCACCGTCGTCTGCCACGGTTGTTTCGAATTGCGTCGAATCTCTTGCACTGGCGATCACACTGTCCGGCACCGCATAGAACCGTTGGCGGAGGTTCTGCTTCGCGCGTCTGTTCTTGCCCGTGAGATCTCCCACTTCCGGTAGGTTCGCCCACTCGTCTTCGGAGACGGAGGCTAGCGATCGTTTCAAATCGGCAAATTGCTGCTGAATCTTGGGGTTCTTGCGTTCGTAGTCCTCTTGCTCTTGCCGCTCTCGAGCTTCTCTGTTAGGAGCCAGGTTCCATGTCAGTAGTTCATCCTGACCGATAACCACCGCGTAGGGAGTGCAGTCAACTAACCTTCGCATCTTGCGTCTTTTGTCCATCTTCTCATCTACCTCCCGGTAGATCCTGTCGGCTTCATCATCCTCCTGATCGAACTGGCCGTAAGCAAACAAGCCCACTTCATTGTCCGGATCCTGGAACCGCTCATCCTCCTCCTCGTCTTCGGCTTTGTCGTCCTTGCCGCCCTTGTCTCGCCCGGCCCCATAAGCAGTCGGGGGCGCGGCTCCTAGTTGTTGCGCTCGTTTGGCGAGAGCTGCCTGGATCTGTTCCGGCGTGGGCCCTTCACGCGCAGGTCCTAGATCTGAACGGGTGGTGAAACCGGTCGCACCGCGACCGAGACCCGCAACGTAGTTCTCGGGGGCGGGCTGGCTCAGAAAATCTTTCCGCCCAGAGGCCATACTGACCGAGACACACGTCACAGAAGATGAAGTAAAGCTGAAAGACCGCAGCGAGGTCTGATAGGAGACGGGGTGGTGGCAAGCGACGTAGGCGGTGGATATCGACCGATGCTTTGCGACGGGCCATCGGGGAGAGCATCGCATTTAGATTGTTCCGGCCCCGGTAATCTTATCAGGAAGTCTCCGCAATGCCTTTGATTTTTTTGCCTTGTTCACAACAACCGGAGTGGAGCACAGCACCGAGGGGGCCTCTTTCGAGAACCTCTTTTTTTACATTGCATTCATATATTACAGCAACGCCGACCGTGGTAATCGCTGCTTCGGATCACCGCCATGCCTAAGGTCAAACAACAGAAGCGCAACAGCGCCTCCAAGGCCAACCCTTATGCAGACGCTGCGGCCAAAACTAAAGCAGCCAACAGCATTTTCAAGATGAACACAGACCTTGGTCAACATATCCTGAAAAACCCCGGCGTCGCCCAACGAATTGTTGAGAAAGCTGAGCTGAAACAAAGTGACGTGAGTAAAGCTCTCGCCATGTCCAATTTTCAATCCGGCGCACCTGAAGTCTGATGTACCTCGTCTCACAGGTCGTGCTGGAAATCGGTCCTGGTACAGGTAATTTGACCGTAAAAATCCTCGAGAAAGCAAAGAAAGTCATCGCCGTTGAGCTGGACCCTCGAATGGCTGCCGAGGTCACAAAACGTGTCCAGGGCACGCCCGCCCAGAATCGCTTGGATGTCATTCTCGGAGACGTGATGAAGACGGAGCTTCCGTACTTCGACGTCTGCATTAGCAACACTCCCTATCAGGTGCGCTTTCATTTATAGGTCTTTTTCTCAACCAATCCTCATCCTAACCTGCTTGCGGCCAGATCTCTTCCCCACTCACATTCAAGCTTCTCGCTACCTCGCCAGCTCCTCGAGTCTGCATTCTGATGTTTCAACGAGAGTTTGCGCTGAGACTCTTCGCCAAGCCGGGCGATAAACTTTACAGTCGACTCTCGGTCAATGCCCAGATGTGGGCCAAGATCGATCACATCATGAAGGTTGGAAAGAACAACTTCAAACCACCTCCGCTGGTCGAGTCCAGTGTAGTCCGCTTAGTCCCCAAAAATCCTAGGCCGCAAATCAATTATGACGAATGGGACGGACTTCTAAGAATCCTTTTCGTCCGGAAAAACAAAACAATTCGATCAAGCTTCTTGGGGAAATCCACTGTTATGGACATGTTGGAAGCTAATTATCGGACATGGTGCGCGCAAAATGACATTCCTGTAGAAGATGGGCCAGCGGGTGAGGCTGGAGCAGACGCAATGGACACAGGCAATATGGAAGATGAGGAAGACGAAGACGAGGTTGAAGAAGTCATGGATGTGGATGATGAAGATGACGTGCCGGACTTTTTCAAGGAACAGGAAAATGCCCGGATACAAGAGGCGCTAAAGGGTCGGCCAAGCCGAAAGAAGAGAGGAAAAGTGGGAGAGCTGGTTCGGGAAAAAGTTCGGCAGGTACTGGAAGAAGACACAGGCCTCGCTGATAAACGTGCCAGGATGTGTGATGAGAATGATTTTCTGAAGCTGTTGTGGGCGTTCAATCAGAAAGGCTTCCATTTCACCTGAACACACTGCTGGCAAGAAAGAGCGCGTATCGGGCCTCGGGTTCTTCTGGTGTATGCGAAAATAAGATCTCTCTAATGATTCACGACAGTCGTCATTGAAAGCCATTCTCTGGTGACCGATCTCCAGCCGGGCGAAGATGGGCACGAGAGTCCTGAAAAAGACTTTGCCATATGTAGGCCTCACTTAGCAAAAGTTCAATATCCTTCTCAGTCCAACCCTTCGTCGGTAGGGCTTGCAGGAACATCATAATCTCCTAATTCTAGTTAGCTTGGTCTGAGATAGTACAGCTCTCCCCGTCAGATACCCACCTGAAAGTCCATTTTCACCAATTGATCTGTCCACTTCACCAGAAATGCCGCACATACGTAGAGGTGGAAGCGTGAGAAGCCCTGCTCTTCAGCCTATACGCAGATCATCAGTAAAGACGTTAGGATTATGATCTCTTTGGAAGTGGACATGCAGTACCATATACGTATCCCACATCCTTATGGTATTTTGCACGCTCATTTCTCGCATGAGGAGGCAGTTCATCCATCGAAAACTGAATTGCATGAATTCCACACCCTCTTGCTCTAAATGCTTGGCCAGCGTAGAGTCTATGCGCATGGTCAAGTCACGCAGTGCTCTGACTTGCCTGTGAATCCCAGGTTGAGCATAGATGTAATTGTCCTGAATTCCGTCTAGGAGTTTGGTAAGACACCAGAAGGAGTCCGCCTCCACCGCATCCAGCACACTCCGAGGTAATTGACCTGGATCCATGCCTTCCTCGACGTTGAGATCGGTGACGTAAAGTCCAAGAAACACTTGCCAGAAAGGGGTCACAAGGTCATTTATGCCTTGGACATAACCGCTGGCAGGATGACGTATAGCCCAGACGTAGAGTATCTTCTCTAGAGAGCGTTGAGTAGCCTCGTAGCTGTAGAGTTGGATGTGGGGGCTGGTGCGAGGAACATCTATACTAATCTGATGCCAGACCGCTTCATCTAAACCTCTACCTCGCCCTGTAACGGACGAAGGCGGGTTTCCGGAGGTTGAAGGACCTCGCTCAAAAGCCTGTCGAACCCCGTCCAGGTATTCCTTGCGCTTCCTTTCAAGGGTCGAAATGCGCCGTTCACTGTTTGTCGGCAAGTACCCTAGTAGTAGTTGCCAAGTCATTGCTCGCACTTCTTCTGGGACCCCTGACCACGCGAGGTTTCTAAGTTCCGCAAGAGGAACAGTGCTCGTCTGTAGCAGACGCTTGAATTTGTTGATCCTTGAGATGCGACTCGAATACAAGTCCATTTCTTTCGGCGACGCATTTTTTGGTGGTGGCGCATGATAAATAAGATTAAGAGCATGCGCAGGGTCTAGAATTCATTAGCAGATGCGCTTGGACCTGTCTGCGCTTGAGGCTGCAACCAACCTCTCAAAATTTCCTTATACTGAGGGCGTAGGATTTTACCCTCTGGCTTCTTTGCTGTAGGGTAAATTGACACGCCACGCTCTTCTGCAATGTCAGAGCTATTTGCCCGTTGTCGGTTGCTTCCAAGACCAACACCAAGGGTCAAATGATCCCCTATCCCTCCCCCGGGGTCCACGGTGTTAGGTTGAACTAGAGCAGTAGCCCGATTTTGTTTTCTCCGCATGCTCGTAATGCTTGGGAGCCCAAATTCATCCTCATCATCATCGTAGGCTACATCCTCCTCCTCATCTTCATCTTCCTCCTCTTCTCCTTCGTCTGCCCGATAGTTTTCCCAAGCTTCCAGTCCTCCGTTCATGATGCCAGAGTATGAGGTACGAGGCGACGAGACCCATAAACCCGGCCGGTGTGGAGACAAGGTAGCATGTGGGGTACTGGTGGAAGTCACTGAAGGTGGTGTTCGTGGACGAGCGTGTGGTTGTGGGCCTCTGTAGGGCATGCATCGGGGTCAATCACTAGAAGACAGGAGCGATTGAAGCGTGCGGCCGTGAGACTCACACTGAGATATTGGCATGGGAGTATGAAGCTCCAACGACGGTATTCGACTCCGGGATTCTGGACGATGTCTGGTTGTGCGACACCGACCTAGCCTTCCAGAACGGCGAATTGCTTTTCCTTCGCGCACCGGTTAGTGGGTCTTCTATAAGCTGCGATGGCAAGAAACAGCTTCAATTGATCCGCTGGGTAGAGGATTGACAACTCAGGATTGAGACTAACATACTCGATGCGATCTGTGACGACAACAGGGGAATTGATCAGTTGCGGGAGTCTCGTAGGCGAGATAAACGTAGGGATGGAAGAGGCACGAACCAACCTGGACCATCTCCTGATATCGAGTTGACCAAGCAATCGGGTCAGCAACCCAGTTATATAGTACTTTCGAAAGATGTCTGGGGAAGGGAAGCGGCTGCATCGAGCAGACCAAGGCTAACTCACCTGCTGCTGGCCTTTTTTGCTTGCCATTGCGTCAAGCTCTTTATGCAGAGAAGACGGGATCTACTGAACAGATCATCAGCTGGCTACCAGGTGAGAAAAGTAAGTGTAGTAAGATTGAGAAGAGGAAGCAGGTGATCAGGGAAAGCTAAGTCGGGGATGGAGAGGGAGTGCGGGGAGAGAAGTATCACTGGCACGTGGATGTATGTATGAAGGTATGTACAGTATGTACAGTATGTACAGTAGTAGGTCATAAGTAGTAACTAACTTAAGCTAACTACCGTAGTAACTAGTAATCCGCCAGATTGGAGCAGATGATGTACAGTACAATAATCTGCTCTTGTCTTGCTTGCACGAAGAGGCTGCAAGCTCTCCAAAGTTACATCGTCAATCCAGAGTAGCATCACCTACTACAAGACGATAATAGTGGTTGGAGGACTGCTGAGCTTTGTTTTGTCATGGCCGCCACTCAGTCAGTCATGGTATTGCGGTTACCGCAGGTCACTCAGTTACCAGAGGCATGTATTCCGTACAGTATTTTACATATACTTTACATGTATCATATGGTTACTTACCTACCATACAATCAATCTTACCCGCCTCAGTTCAACCTCCTCCGCTCCTACTTTCCTCTCTCCTCCTCTCTCTCTCTTCTTTCTCCTTCATCTACACCTCCCTCCACTGTCCCTTCTCTTGTTCGATAAATCTTCTTCATTCCATCACCCCCCCCCTCACTTTCCTTTTCTGACACTGGACTTTTGAGCCCGGTAGCAGTCCGCACTGCCTGACTCGATAATATTTCCGGTTGAGTCTCGTTTGAACCAATTCCAGTTCACCAAGCCGGTGTTGGCTATCTCTAGAAATTACATTACCATTCCTCTCACGCTTTCCGCTTCCCAGCATCGTCAACCCAGTCACTTCGCGATTATGGCTGAACCTGAGGATGTTGAGGAAGACCTCTTCGCCGATTTGTAGGGCGCTCCCGTCAATTATCCCAGTTGAAGACATCATCTGACGCTCGGTATCCGCAATTCTAGGTACGATGCCGATGACACTACGGCTCACACGACGTCTGTTGTAGAGCCTCAACAGGTTTCAGACCCCATCACCGCCGCTCCACCGGTTCCCGCGACTGAACCGCATACGCAATATGCGGATCAGCACCATGGTGATGTTGAAGTGGGCGGATCCTATCAATATTCCCACCAGTCTGGCAATCATGTGGGAGGAGAAAATGGAGGCGCTGGCTTTCCGAACGCCTTGGCAACTCCAGTGGGCGACTCCGAACCTCAGGGGACCGGAATCAAAGAAGACGGGTGAGTATTATTTTCAATCGAAGACCCCTACATCGTGTTTTATTCGTATCATGCACTCTTCGTTGCGCTTGTGACTTTGGTGGCCACGGTCCCAAAATTGCTTCTCATCCCCTTTCCTCATTTCTCGTCTTATCCCTGGTCATCAAGAGGGGATTTGTCAGTGTCTGAATGTTGCCACTGCGTGGGCCTCATTTACCAAGCGAGACATGAGCGATTCCTGTACACTATTCATCGGACCCCCATCCAGCCCCAACAATGGTTCGTGAAAGTCGATTGAGTTTCGGGGTCTTGGTGCTGTGTGCGAAAGGGTCAGGTTCTATCATCTCGGTCAAGGATATCTCCTGCTTTGGGTCGATCGTGGTTTCTGGATGGAAAAGACATCTCGGCCTTGAACAAAAAATTTGATATTAAGAGGATATTCTCGCTGGCGATGTTGAATTTCGTCTAGTACTCACCCCCACGTTACGAGGCTCGTGTGAAAGATCTATCGGCGATACGGCAACGATATAAGACTCAGGAAGACAGTGCTCGGGTCCCTAGCTTTTGAGGCCGTGCTACAAGCGATTATAGTACACCCGATACTATATAGCTTCATGTCGATATATCATGATAGAGCACAGCAAGGAATGAGACCTTGACTGTCTAGTTTGGGAGGTTCTCGAACAGATTACCTAGCTTCGGACTTGATTAGACAGACAGGCAAAAGATTCTTTGGCCAAGCAGACAGACAGACAGACAAGCATACAGACAGATAAGAAGGGAAAGAAAATGGACTTAATCCATCCGCCTCACATGCTCCAACCTGTGGTGACACCTGCCACATACCTTTTCGATGCTGGAAACCGCGTTTGGTCTTCATCTCACTGGATTGTTGTAAACCAGTGTTGCTTCCTGACTAGGAGACATAATGACTGTCTTGGACAAGGAGATCCCTGGCAATGTATTGGTGGCCCAGACCGACCCGCGATGTTGGTCTCAACGCCCTTCTGGGTTCAGTCGATGCTTCTGTCATAGTGACAGAGAGGCAGCAAAAATATATTGGCTCGTGTCCAATGACAAGCCGTGCACCGGCCAACACTCAGACCTATACAGCAAGCATCGCTTGATCCAGTCCCTTCACAGCATCCAGAATCATCGAGCTGCAACGAATGGAGCAGATCATACTACCCCGTCCCTCGCAGCAGCCAATGGTCCATCGCTGGGGCTGTCATCTCCTTTGTCATTTTTCTGGATATTCTTGTTGCTGTCATGTTTCAATAATTCATTCGGAGTTGAATTGCGCTCCCTTTCCCAAATGTTCTTCATAGCGTTTACAGTTTGAGAGATTGCAATACAGCGTTTGCTAATCGTGTCATGGCCAGGAAAATGTTCATTGGTGGCTTGAACTGGGAGACTACGGATCGTATGTACCTCCCTATGGCTGGCTGCGGCTGCTCCTCTTCGCCCATAAGTTATCTGACAAGTTCGATTAGAGTCCCTGAAAGATTACTTCTCTCAGTTTGGAGAGGTACAAGAATGCACTGTGATGCGAGATAGTGCTACGGGTCGCTCCAGAGGATTTGGATTTTTGACATTCAGAGACCCGAAAACTGTCAATACCGTCATGGTTAAGGAACACTATTTGGATGGCAAGATTGTAAGAGCCTCCGTCACACATTCCTCCCCGTACTGGGTATAAAGTTCGTGAACAGCTGACCATGATGTGGCAGATCGATCCCAAGCGTGCAATCCCGCGTGACGAACAGGAAAAGACCAGTAAAATATTTGTTGGTGGCGTGAGCCAAGAGGCAAATGAACATGACTTCAGAGATTTCTTCACCCAATTTGGGCGTGTGATTGATGCCACCCTGATGATTGACAAGGATACTGGTCGTCCCCGTGGCTTCGGATTCGTGACCTTTGACAGTGAAGCGGCAGTCGAAGCGGCTCTCTCTCGTCCTCTGGAAATCCTCGGGAAGCCGATTGAGGTGAAGAAAGCCCAACCAAGAGGAAATCTACGCGATGAGGAAGACCGCCGATTCCGCCGTGGCAGGGAGGGTTTCCGTGACGGTGGCGCAATGGGAAGCGATGGTTCGCAACCACAAGCCGGTGCCCAAGGCCAAGGCAGCATGGCTGGTGGACTCACCCCCCAGATGATGGCCCAGTATTGGCAGAGGATGCAGCAGTACTTTGCCCTGATGCAACAGCAGATGGCCGTTGCTGCGGCTCAAGGTCAAGGCATGGGCGGGATGGGAATGGGCGGGATGAACCCAGCCATGATGCAACAGATGCAGCAAATGAAACAGATGCAGCAAATGCAGATGGGTAACAATCAAGCACCACAAGAGAGTCTTAGCCCTCCGTCGCAGAGCGCAACGCCCCAAACAATGGCACCGAACATGATGAATCCCGCCATGATGCAGCAGATGCAGCAGATGCAGCAGATGCAGAATCAAGGTCAAGGCAGCAGTTCCGGAAGCATGGCCGGTCAGATGGGAGGTGGGGGCAATGGAATGAACATGGCCGCAGCCAACGCCAATGGGAATTACTCGAACCATCGCGGTGGACCCGGCTACAATGCTCAGGAGCAAATCGCCTTTGAGCAGCAAAAGTACGAGCAGCAACAGGCACGCCGAGCCATGGAAAACCGGGCTTTCTCTCCCTACCAACAAGGTGGGCCAACTTCTTGGGAAGGTATGTATGATGAAGTACCTCAGCCGAACATCCCGACCGGGCCCCAGGCCATGACCCGCGCGGGGAGCATGGGACGCGGTATGTCTTCCTATTTTGCTATCCCCAGGTCCTTCCTGCCTGTCATTCGCCTTGTCTGCCCGGATATGCTAACACCGAAACATGAAGGCCCGACTCCGCAACCTCAAAGTGCTGCGCCAGCCAATGCTCCAACCGGCCCGAAGAATGCCGGCAAGCCAGGCGCTAACTATCGCGGTGGAGGCCGTGGAGGTCACCGGGGCTTCCACCCTTACTCGCGCGGTTGAGGACATGGTTTTTTTCCCCCTTCGGTCCTTCTGCTTTTCCTTTCCACACGCTTGTACATGTGCGCTCAGTCTCCAATGCTACCTCCCCCTTGAGATCTTCATCAATCAGTGAGATTCCTTGGTGGTGCCCTTCCACCATTTGATCTATTCTTCGCGACGTGAAAGACCTTCCAGCTCTCTCGCTGGCCACCAATCCAGAATGGCATGATCCTCCAGCAGCAATAGTGACCTTTGATACTACAAAACCCTTGAAATATGCATGGCCACGCCCGATTATTGTTGCCTATCTTTCTTCTTCCCCCCACCCCTTTTGTTTTGACCGTTCGTACTGCATCTCTTACACTCTTCCTCTCATTGTTCATTTCTCTCGCGGCGTGTGCGTGCGAACTAATCCAAATTGTGCATGGCATCTGGCATGGATTGCTATGGTCTTTATTCTGTTCTCAATTCTGTCTTGCTATCGCTTTTGTAACAAAAACCTGGGTTTATGCGGTGGAACGAATCTTCTGTGCGTACCTAAATATTGCGTAGCCAATCTGGTAGCATGAGAGCATCAGTCTCAATATCGGAATAGCAGAAAAGAGCCAGGCTCAGCTTGGTGGCAATTTACATGGAAAGAAGGCAATTCGGAGTATGTGCTTAGGGTCCGTGCTTGCGAAAGGCATGACTATTAAGACCGACATCTTGGATACGGTCCAAATAACAGATAGTGATGGTGGATGGAGCTAAACAGCGAGGATACCAGAAGCAAGTGCAAACCACAAAAGTACGCTAAATTTGTTGGAAACTGACAAAAAAAAGTCTATGTCCAAGAAAGAGTTCCACCCCGGGAAAAAAGAATATAACAACAAATCGTAAGTCCCAATTTATCCCAAATGGAGTATCAATAAGCGAACCCATAGCCGGGGGTAGTGGCATGGTGCCTCTCAGGAGCATCATGACTGTCACGGCTCCGCCGACTCTCACGGCTTACAGCACGATCGTGTTGCTCTTCAAGGTTATAACCAGACCCAACTAATCGATCCAGACTCCCAGTGGGACTCTGCCGCCCTTTGTGATCGAACTGGTCACGGTATGGCTCGTAGGGACCGGTGAAATTGAATTTGCTCATCTCGGCGTAATCTTTACGAGGAGGGTTGTCCATCAGGAGAGACTCGCGGGCGTCCAAGGGGGTCAGATCATCCATGTCGCGATTCATCTTGTCTGTAAGAGCAGATGAGACGATTAGCATATACCCTTGTAATTAGGCCCAATATTCGAAATTGTTGCGACTTACCGGCCTCTCGTCTCCGCTTCGCATGAGGATTCTCGCGACAGCAGAGGAGAATCGCGTTGACACAGATTAGAATGGCCAAGATGCCGGTGAAGCCAGCCTGGACCGCGATGAGAACAATTCCGGTGACCGTCTTGGTTGTCTCTGATAGGCCGAGCTCATCCACAAATACCAAAACAAGAACAACCGACAGAATGCGTACTACCTGCACACTGGTGTTGATCCATTGGCTCGATTTCACAACGTATGGGCGATTCCACAATAGCATGACCAACATAAGCGCTTCAACGATAAGCTGACCCGCACTTTGCGCCAGCCCATGGCCATTACCTGCCGCGATAATGCACCCCTTAGCGAACATGTATACAATCGCGGGTACGAAAATCCACCAATAATCCTTCTTGTAATTGTCGTAGAAAAGACTGTACTTGCGCCAGGTTTCGCTATCATCGTACAAGCGAGATGCGTCGCCTTCAGACTTTCTGAACTTCCGTGCCAGATAAGCAATCCGAAGGCCGAAGAACAGGAGCACGGCTGTGAACACAACCAGAGCAACGGCAGCCAGAATTTTTGCGGCCCAGGAATCTCCGCTGCTAAGTTGGTAGACACACCAGATGACCCAGATCCCATATAGAATCAAGATCAAATTGGTGATTGTCCGCCCGAGGAGACCCCAATAGTCCTTGCGAAAGTTGGAGAGCTTCTGAGGGAAAGACCCATACAAAGCCCATACTTCAAGGATGACTTTAAGGAGCAAAATCCCCACAGTGATGGCGGCAATGAGGATGGCGAAGATAAGCAGCACAGTCATAAAGGTATTCCCCTGCGGCACAGTCAATTGCTCTGCATATGCCTCGATTCCCGATACCATATGTTGCAATCCACTGCTACTGCTGGTACTGTTGGTGGTAGTGGAGTTTGACGTCGTGAGATCGCGGGCGACGAGGTTAGCAGCACCAACAGTCCAGTCAAGGGCACGCTTCGACTTGCTCGAATTTGACGTGGAGCCGCTTGAATACACCAGGGTGGCGTTTAGGAGATATTCGTAGCTGTTTTCGGTCAGATTTCCACCTGTTACCCGACGGAAGCTATCAATGGACTCCTGCATCTGGCCCCACGGGATCAGGCCTGTGCTGAAGGCAAAATTCTTGGAAAAGCTGCGGTAGACCGTAGGATAATTGACGCTAAGCATACCGTTAGTTGCCATGGTGTGAAACCAGGTCATAACATCGCCGAAAGATGGGCTGGATGATGAAGCTCCAGGGTGACCAGCAGCACCTAGAGCGGACAACCCGCTCACGGCTAGAGCCGCCCCCGCTACGCCAGCAGCAGCATAAGAGACACCTGCAATCTGCATCGTCTTGCCGTTACTTAACTCGGTTTGGATGCAGGCCAGCTCGTCATCGTTGTTATCCTTCGACAGCAACTCAAGCTTCACTTGGCCATCCAGATCTGGAATAGCGAATGCGATGGAGGGGATTTGACTGGCAATGGAATCAGGAACCTGCATCTGTCCCTGGGCTGTAAAGCTGCCGGCCGGCACGGGGCACAGGGCTGCCGTGTAATACTCGGTGCCACAGGGATCGAATGTTTTCGAGTAGAGTTGATTGCCGTACGCATAGATCGTAATGGAGCCAGTAACATTCTGTTCTTTCGCGTTGGTACCGCCGACGTTATAAACGAGTTCATTGGTTGATTTGGTGTACGTGACATCAAGATTATTGACTTCAATGGCCGAGTCCGTCAGGCATGTTGACAAACCTTTAGTGCTCAATGTATCCGCAGCGAGCGTCTGGGAAGCCCACAAGCCCAAGGTAGTGAGCGTGAAATATGAAACGAGAGTGGTCCGCATTTTGGTTGACAAATAGCACAATTTGTCGGATTCCGGAATTCAAAGTGTTAACATCAAGAACCTCTAGTTCTTGCGCTAAGATGGTGGTGATATTGGTAAAGCCAGTCGAGGCGGCGACCATTAGAATAAGATATGTACCGAAGCCGTAATTCGGTCAAATCGCACAGCGACTTGATATGAACGGGGTCCCCGAGGGGTCAACAGGATCAACCTGGACAGAACGGAAGGACAGCAACAAGGACTGAAGATCGGGTCGGCGATGAATGGTGGGATAGGAGTCGTATGACTGAATGAACAGCGAGGCAGTGTCCAAGATCCCACAGTTACTAGACCACCTTTTCTCTTGTAGGTCCAGCGCTTATGGGATACGTTCACTCGGATGATGATAAAGGCCGTGTTAGCTTGCTAGAGAGATCTCGCAGCACCTCACAGGAGCACTAGCTGAGGTCGGATCAAAACTTGCTTGATTCTTCCGAGGCAGCAGGTGAGAAAGAGTGGTGGACAATGGATGGAGCAAGAGCGAGAGCGAGAGCAAGAGCAAGACAAAGCAAAAGAATGTCTAAAGGGAACTGATTGTCGTCAATGACCAAAGCGAAAGCAGACAAAGCGGATTGCAGGATAGGGAGAAATAAAAAGTGTGCAAAAGAGGGAGGAGACGTATAGACTAGCGATAATGACTGTGTGGATTGGAAGGTGGGTAAGGGTAAGAAAGATGGAGACAAGCAAGCAAACGGTAAAGGGGAGAGAGAGAGGGAGAAGAGGAGGGGGAAGAAAGGAAGAGTAGGAAGAGAGAGAGAGAGAGAGAGAGAGAGAGAGAGAGAGAGAGTACGAACAACTCCCCTAGCCAACTCACTGATAATAATTTACAGTTCGACAAGACTACTACTGTACACTAGGCTCACTAACTGGAACCTACTACTGAAGACTCAGAACACTCAGAACACTGGGCAGAGCAATTATCCTTCCATTGTTAGTCTCTTACACCGAGATTGGCATGACTGGATATTGAAGCGCCCGAGCGGGCGGAGCGGGATGAGCCACTAAAGCCTGATTAGTATTAGCCAGGGGCTGCAAAGATGAAACATGGGCTACTGATAGGCTGATGGCAGCCGCCCCCCCACTGCACTGAATCAAGATTAGTCATACTTCACTCCTGGTTTGTCGGTTCACGTAATTTAGGTACGGAGTACTCCGTACAGTACAAACACTCGAGAGGTCGTCTTGATTTGAAGTTCATATTGCCAGCCAGAGAGTAGCAATGAAACCCTGTAGAATATTTGCAAAAGAGTATTCACTGTTTAGTATTTACAGAATAATACTGAGTAACTTAGTTTACTGAAGATTAACTTTCTTAATATTGCTAAATATAAATTCATTCACAACCCCCCTCCCCCTTCTTCTCCTTCTCTCTTGCTTCTTGCTTTTATCGCGATACCAACCACGGTTCTTGGTTGGTGTCAGTGACGGGTCGGGAACGGGCCCAATTGTTTTCTACCCATTGCTGGCAATTGGTGCCTATCCCAGTCTAGACTCTGGACTCTTTCCAGACCACTCCTCCCAATTATTATTAGCGTAATTGTTGATTGAGGCACGGATAGGTGATGAAACATCATCAATATACTGGGGTCTATCAATTCAATATGCAACTCTTCACCAGTAGAAGAACAGTACTTTCTGCCTGTATTAACTTAGCCCCAAGAGATGGCATAAAGCATAAAGGGGGCAGAGAAAAAAAAAAAAAAGGGGGGGTGGGGAGGGGGAATCACTTAACCACCTGACAGAGTGGCACTCATAACTGAATACTGTACATACTTACTCACCTTAGACTACCTCAAGTACTGCTGTACTGAGTCGAAAGACAACCTGAATCATTCAGCCAGCCAAATGAACCCACCAACCAACCAACAACCAACCTCTCTCACTTTTCTGGGACAAACAAAGAAACAAATTGAAAGCTTCCAGGCTGCCGCCCAGCCCCACCGTCCTGAATCGCCCCAGAGTCCCGGACAATGAGCCAAACGTAGACAGCCAGACTTGGGCCACACCCGTCTGCCACGCCACGCATTTCGGCGGCAACTTGGAAACCTCCGCAGGAAACAATTTTTAATTACCTACTTATGTAGTACCCTCAGTAGTGACGACTTGTTATTTTGTACCAGACAAGGACTCAGGCAGATCAGGCAAAAAGCACAAACTCTTCTCTATGGCTTTACAAACCGATCAATCGCGGATCCGATCGATCCTGTATCAATGCTATCCGAGTATTCCACCGCCATCGACTATCATGATTTTGGTCTAGCTCTAAAGCTTCGCTCAAGAGATAGAACCAGGTGGGCCACTATGTCCTTCTGGGGGCTCATAGAGTGAAGCTTAGCCTTTCGGGGGAGGGAGAGAGGAGGAGAAGGAGGGGGGCCGAAGACAGTTGGGGCCCCCTTTCATCATCTCTATGACACGAGCGAGCAAATCAAACCACGCCCGTGTCAATCTTACGGGTACTTCTCATTGCTGCGACGGACAGGATTTCATAATAGTTCAACACAAAGAAAGCTCATTCTTCTCCGGGCAATAATTTGGAACTTCAACATTGACAGAAACAGGTGCATCCACGTGGGTAGGGCTAAATACGAGAATCCTTATCCATATCATAGATCATATCTGAGCCCCGAGTCATACAGGTTCCTGTCCACTTGAAGGTCAAAAAAGGTTTCACATACTCTGCTTGGCCAGCTAAATTATACCCCAGCGCAATGGCCCAAGATTCGCTAGAAATCCATCAATCTTTAAATCAACAATTTTGTCTAAGAAATCCAAGTTATGAATAATCTCTATCTTGGTGGGCCCTCGATCAGGGAGTAGTATACTCAATTCCAAGGACTCGGACGGGAACATCTCCATTCACCCCGTCACTCGCTACAATCTAGGCTGAGATATTGTTTGGATCAAAGGACTGGACGAATGATCGCACCATCGAGATTCAATAAAATTCTGGAGTAGAGATCTATTTAGAGCATGCAGCTGTCCTATGTGCTGATGAGGTCCTATTTTGCATACAAGCTTATAACTTAAATTGGTAGCGGAAATTCTAAAGGAACCGTCCAATTTCTCGGATGTCGTCCTTTGCCGCTATATTCCAGCACCAGTCACTGGCCTTTCTTGTCTGATCTGACCCTAGGATGGGGATGCACTGGCCGGTGAATTTCTCCATCAGTTGACTGTCGGTCATCGGCGCATCGAGACTGCCAACGGCATGGTCCACATGCCGTACAATAGTATCATCGCCCGCTCCAAGCTCGGCCACAATCTGACATTCGTCCGTGCGAATATTTTCCGCCACTGTAGCAATAATCCTCTCGCGCATCCGGATTGTTTCGGGATCGGTTACAACTGCGTCCTCGTATTGCGCTGGCGTTACCTTGCCATATATCAGAGCGACTGCCCCGCCATGATAAACGCTGAATTTTGCCTGCAGCCCATCAACGGGTTGAGTTTTGCCGGTCAATTCTAACACCAATGGATGAACAGTGACTCGGATCTTGTTCACAGCTTCTAGCGGTATTCCTCGTCTGCGCAACTCGTCATGCAGCCAGATGCAACCATCGATGACCGGATGTTTGACAATACCACACGGGAAGGGCTTGAAAGTGTTTTTCTCGAGTTCCCATAGATTTCCTACTTTCAAACTGGCTATCTGTTCTTCAAGCCTATTATCATGGCTGGTGACCTGTACCCAGCCTCGCTTGGCCTCCAAGGCCTGCACGGAGCTGGTATACCCGTCTGATGCCAGTATAGCGGCCAAAAGTCCGTTCTGGGCTGCCCGACCCGGATGGAAGGATTTGGTATGCGAGCCAAACATTTCGCGAAGGCCAGTTACTTGAGTGGCAGCAATGCCAATTGCATGGGCTGTCTTCTCTTGGGAGAGGTTCAGGAGCCGCGACACCGCTACGGCTGCCCCAATGGATCCCGTGGACCCAGTAATATGCCTGATCAGACGACCTGTTAGTTGACTTACTACTTAGGACTTATCAGGCCCGCACTCACCAGCCCACGTCGTAGTGGCTCGGCCAGACTGCTAGGCCAATCTTGCACTCGATTTCAATCCCGGCAGCAAGGGCAGTGAGAAATTCAGCGCCCGATACTGGTCGATCGAGTGACTGGGCGATGCTCAGAAGGGCAGCCGCCACAGGCCCCGTCGGATGAATGATGGTTTCTAGATGCGTGTCATCATAATCATGGACGTGCGAGGCGATACCATTGATCAATGCTGCATGCTGCGCATCCACCTGAAGTCCCCCGGAGCCTAGTAAGGTCGAAGTCGGGGCGCCAAAGAAGCGGGAAAGGGAGTTGCGTGCGATGGAAACAGCGGGGTGATTGCTACCTCCAACCGCGCAACCCACCCAATTGTAAAAACTTCGAGCGGCTGCATTGAGGACACCAGGAGGGAGTGAGGAGGGAGTGAGGGAGGTGGCCCAATGCGCAGCATGCAATGTAGCCATTGTGCACGGAAGGCGAAGTGTACAGAGGAAAAATTGGCGGGAGGGACGAGGTGGTTGAAGAGTGGTGCGGATATCAATAAAGTACCGAATATAGATGACCCACTGGCTGATCTTATTTGCTCATTTCTTACTTTTATCATTACTACTAAGTACTACGCCATGTGATGTGCCCTGCCCCTCTCTCAATGTAAAATCAATGGTTTCGTAGCAAAGGCTCATTTCCGTCCTGATTTCTCCTGCATCTCACGCATAGCAGCTCGAGCACTTCGACTGCCCCCTAACTTCGGCCCTCGGGGAGCTTCGGTCTTGGTAGATTTCGTATTTCTTGCTCGCGCCACCCGACGACGGGACTGAATGGCATCGAGGAAATCTTTTCGAAATTGCTCTGCCACCCTGTCGTCGGCGGCTTGGCCATCTGCGTCCCCTGCACCATCTTCCTCGCCCTCTAATTGGCCATCATAGACGTCCACTAAGACAGAGTAAGAACTCAAATTCAGAAGATTTCACACTAAGAGATGAAAACTCACATTTACTCTCTCGTAGAATTTCTTCCACCAGTCGATCTCGTTCAACGTCCTCGCTGGTTCGTCGTTTCCGGTTGCGCCACGGTCTCTGCTCCTTCCCTAAAGGCGTCACCTTGGAGCCGGTCTCTGTCGCAAGCGCCAGGTCATTATCGTTTCCAGCGAGCTTTCTGGTAGCCGCTTCAGTCCGAGCGATGTTTTGCAATTTAGTCTCCTGGCCAAGGTCAATTTCGTGTAGTTTTCCCAGCGAGGCCGGTTCACGTTGTGGTAGGTCAGCCATCGACGGGGCAGCTGTCGCTGTGGTTGTCGAGGCCGAGCTGTCGCGAACATCCTCAGCTGACGCGCTGCCTCGATAACGCTTGGCCATTTCGGATTCTATATAAGCCATCCTTATCTCGTTAGCCAACATTGCAAACCGGTAATAATCATGGGCAGATGAAATAGGAAGGGTACGTTCGTACATATGCTTGTCAACGTCCACCGTCTGCCCTGTATGCGCTGTGAACCGATCACACATCGCTTGCAATCTCTCACTCTCCATACTCTCGGTCGTCGTGCATGTCATATTTTTTTGATTATCGCCGTTCGACGTTGTCCGCGAGGCGGTTGAGAATTCAATTCCCCCTTTGCGAGCCCGTTGTAACCGCCGAAGGCGAGCAGCATCTAAACTATGGCTCGTATCCAACCCGTCCGACTGAGGCAGAGATGATAGTCCGTCTGATGGCTGGCCAAAGTCCTCCGCGGTGGTTCCTTGCGCATTCTCTACGCTGTCCCCCAGTCGTCGTCGCAGGAACTTTCTCTTCTTCACTGGGCGGAAGAGAGAAGCCGGATTAATCTCAGTATCCATAGCCGCATAAAAAAGATATGACCAGTTCCAGGATTGTTGGTATACCAGGACAAGGAAGAAAGGACGTATATATGATATTGGAGACAACGACGATGATGTTGGTGGTGGGTGATGGTGGAGTTGATGGCGATTTGCGCTGGCGGGTAACTTACCAGCTGCGGCGCCGGGGGCAAGCGCGGCGATTATTCATTCCTTCAATGCAATCACCATTCATTTCCCGCCAGCCGTGCGATACATTCGTTCCCCCTCCATCAAAAGCCTCTCGGCCTCCAGAAGTAGTTGGCTTGTCTATGATCTCTTTCTAGCTACCTTCTTTCCTTTCTTTTCTTCTTGTCACATGCATTGAACTGAGCCTATTTCGCTCGAGCTACCGTTACACCCACCTCTTCACCCGAACAAGCTGTGCCCTTCCTTGACCTTCGGCCATGAACCCATCCATTCCACCCTCAACAGCCGAATATGGCGGAGGTATGTTGTAAATTACGGCTGCAAAATGCTAAGAGACTGGCTTTTGCACCAATGATGACCGAGCAGAAGCGAACTAGCTGGCTGACCACGGCATGTGTACAGATGAGGTTTCTGCGATCGTGCTTGACCCGGGCTATTCCACAACACGCGCTGGATTCGCTGGTGAGGATACACCGAAATCATTAATTCCGACGTATTACGGCAAATATACCTACGATTGTCAGGAAAAGTTGATATTCGGGGATGATGTCTTCGTCACCCCCCGTCCTGGTCTTTCAGTCCACAACCCCATGGGTCGGGACGGGATAGTAGAAGACTGGGACATGGCCGAGAAAGTATGGGAATATTCCTTCACCTCGCGCCTCACAGGACCCAGACCTGGAAATCCCTTGCAGAACGGATTGAATGATACTCCAGACAACGAGCTGCCTACGGAGATGGAGGGTGTGGAAACTGAGGAAAAGCCTCTCGCGGACAGCCCGTTGTTGATGTCGGAACCTGGTTGGAACCCCACAAAGGCTCGCGAGAAGACCATCGAGATTGCCATGGAAAAATGGGGTACCCCAGCCTTCTATTTAGCGAGGAATGGCGTTCTAGCAGCGTAAGTCATCAACCGCCAACATCTACCGCGAACTAAGATGTTGACTTGACTTCCCATTTCTAGCTTCGCGGCCGGCAAAGCCTCTGCATTGGTTATCGACATCGGTGCTTCCAATATATCTATCACTCCGGTTCATGATGGGATGATTCTGAAGCGAGGAGTTCAGCATTCTCCTCTTGGAGGAGAATATATCTCGTCGCAGCTCCGCGCTCTCTTCAAGACGAATACACCGCAACCGATCACCATAACACCCCATTATCTCATTTCCTCCAAAGTTGCTGTGGATGCCGGACAGCCTCCACAAGCCAAGTACAAGACCTTTTCACCGGAGAAGGCTCCACATGATACCTATCGTACTTTACTTGAGGAGCGCACGCTGTGTGAATTTAAGGAATGCGTGGTCCAGGTCTGGCCCGGGCCCAATAAGCTTTCTGGAACGGGTCCAAATGGGGTTTTGAACGAAGACCTTGCCAAAACCAGTCCCGGGCGGCCTTTCGAGTTTCCTGACGGCTATAATCAGGTCTTTGGTGTTGATCGTTATCGAGTCGTCGAGTCGCTCTTTGATGCCAAGGCCGCGATTCCGGACCCTGAATCGGTGTTCCCACCAGCCACACAGGCGCAGACCGTGCCCGAGTTGATCAAGAATGCACTAAATGGCGTCGATGTGGACGTTCGCCCACACCTATTGGCGAATGTTGTTGTGACAGGCGCCTCAAGCTTGCTCTACGGTTTCACAGACCGCCTGAACCAAGAGTTAATGCAGATGTACCCAGGGCCGCGCGTGCGTATTTCAGCCCCAGGAAACACCGCAGAACGAAAATTTGGCTCTTGGATCGGTGGAAGTATCCTGGCCAGTCTTGGAACTTTCCACCAGCTATGGATCTCGAAGAAAGAGTTCGAGGAGCATGGCCCTAACATCGTTGAGAAGCGGTGTAAGTAAGATTGTCCGCCTGTCATCCCTATATTATCTGTCTTCAGGTTTACAAGAGGTTGGAAGGTCATTGTTGCGGTACATTCTACGAATTGGTCTTGTTCCTTATTTTGCGACGAAGCTCTGGGAAGTACCGTATAACTCGAAATTCTTCTTTCGTTGATTTCATCACGTTGATTTCATCAATCGGCTATTGGTTGCTATGGTTGTGTACCAAGTTAAAAGACCTTCGCCGCGTAAGCACAGGAGGTGTAAGATATTTAAAACTAAAATGTCCCCATCATAAATCTTCAACGTTGTAACGAAGGCTGTATTCATGACAGGCCTCAATCTCGGCATACTCGGCGTATCACGCCGCACCTTGACGGCCGCTGACTTCGGTCAGTTCATTCTGAAAAGAAGCAATCTTCCTGAACTTCGTTCGATCTCCGGTTGAGACACCACGGGGAAATATGTTCATTGTTGCGCAGCTGGAGATCGATGCAAGTCCGCCTTTTGTGCCTCTGGCCCCAGTATCGAAGGGAGGGCTGTAATCGCTGGTTGCAAGGGTTCTTTTTGCTTTCTGAGACTCTCGTTGGTGGTACCCCTGATCTTGAGCGCCTTCATCTCTTGAGGCAGGCTTGTCTGGGCGGGGAACAAGTGGAAGCGAGGCGCTGTATTGGGTTTTGGCTTGAGTGAGTAGGTGTTAAGCGTTTCCGAGTCCTTTTTCGGAAGCCATGCCATGTCTTCGGCGGAGGCTGGTTCGTGAATGTCGGGATGTGCTTCGTGCGCCGCACCGTTGTTCTTGGACGATGCGATTTGAAATTTGCTCCACGGTCCGTCCTTCTTAAGCTCGGAACTATTCTCAACAGTAGCCTCTTTCTCATTGCGTGCTGCAGTCTCCCAAGCATCTTGCACGCGGTCGGACCTGAAGAAATGCAGCAATTGGGCTTTCATCATCTCCCGCCTCAATGATACGTGTGGCATAGGGGGCTGTTCGGCTGGGGCCGGTGCTAGTTCTCCTTCACGCTTCCGGCTTTTATGCAAGAATTTGAGGTGATCCAGAGAAATACTCCGCGCCCTTGACGCCTTGGATGGCGCTGTGGATGGTCGCTGGACTGACTGGTCTTGAGGTTCTGTCGGCTTGGACTTGAATTTCGAGAGCGTGACTACATTGCGCCGAATGCTGGGGACGAATACTTTGGAGGCCTTTCTGTCCGTCACTTCACCGACGGACGTTGCTCGGTCCATCATCTGGAAAGCGCTTTCTTCCGTGCTTCTTCCGGCCGCTCTCAAGTTTGGAACACTTTTCTGCATCAACCTTCGACGTTCATTCGGCCACACAGTAGGCGCTGATTGTGGGAGGTCTGGTACACGAGGAAGAGGCTTGGATGATATGGGAGAACAGGTTCCGACACTTAAGTCCTTCTCAGAGACGCGTTCTTTGAGCGATCGTCCTCGCAAAAGCCGGTTAGAGCGCTGTGCGAAGGAGACCTGTGTTTGTGTTAAGACTCAACTTCTCGGGCGTCAAGGTACATTTCAATACTGACCACGGACTTTCGACTTGCCACACCGACACGCCGCTGCATTTCAGTTATAGCCAAGCCGAGTTGACCAAGTGCATATTGGAGGGCCACGCCTTTGCGCTGGAGCTCTGAAAATGCATTTTTCCAGCCCTCTGCGTTTGATAGCATGGCATTGTAGATCGCTACCATCCTACCCGGCATTGGGCCATTCTCGTTCGCCGATTTGAAAAGGTACCTCCATAGGGCACCGATCGCTTCCCGTCCCTTTTTTATGTCCTTCAAGGCGTCTTGAACTGCGATTGTGAATCTTGTGATTGCATGTTCAATCCTCTCGTTATAGTCGGTGATGGAGAGACGAAAGCTACGATCCCCCAGCATCTCATCGAAAACATCTAGGTTCTCCAGAGGTAGACTAAGGTACTGTATGCGTGTGCGCACATCAAGCTGTATGATGGAAAAATCCTCCGCAGTTCTCCCCAGGAATCCATCCACTTCGTCCACATGGGACTGAAGAATTCTCAAAACTTCCACATCTGACTTGGCCAACCCTCTAACAAGGAGATGAACACCAAAAGACATCTGCGCGGTAAGCTTCCAGAGTGGATGATACCTGCCACACTTCAGCATGCCATGTCACTGAAAAGCGTTTGTGGCGACTGTGACTCAACAACTTACCGTTCATCGGCTCTTTGGCGCCATTTACGACCACAGAGTCGCTCATATTGGGGAGTCTCAAGGAGATCTCGGCGCCTAGTTTGAGCGTCAAGCTCAACTGAGTCCCATTGTGCTGTATGGCGGGTCTCCGCAATCGACTCTTCAAAGGGACCCTGCAATTCGGGGATTGGGTGCAACGAAAATTGGCCGGTATGCCTTTGGCCGGATGCGATGCAGCCTCCTCGTCCCGGAGAAGGGGCGCCAGCACCTGAGGCGGCCTGATTTCCTCGCTTTGCGACCACGCCGGCCATAAAGATTCGCACACTTGTCTAGTTGCACAGGCCGATCCACAAGTTGGATTTCGCTCCAAACCATCCATATACGTTTCGCGGTAGGAAGGATTGTAGCGATTGTGGGGAGAACCATTTGCTCTACAGATTGAAGTTCAGGTGAGATGTGTAGGCTATACCCCATCCGACAGTGCAGCCAGATTGGAGGAACCCATTGCAATTCAAGCCGTAGAACAGCTTGGCGCTGAAATCTGCACAACGACCGGAAGGGCAGACAGGCGTTGGAAGGATGGCAAGAAGTGGCGCTCCGAAGATCAGTAAGTAAACGACGAACACAGAAGCAGGCGGGGATTTTGGTGAGAGAACCTGTTTGCCATGAACGGGCTTTTCGGCACCCTGATGGAGGGTTGGATAGCAGAGAGAGCTGTCTTGTCGTTTGCGAGGCTCTTTGCAGCCAGAGCAATAATAGACTGGTAGATTGGGCTGAAGGTGTTATCTCATACAAATTGATAGATAATTTTCGTCACTGGCTGGAACAAGTGTTTCATTGACTGAGATTTTGACGATCCAGAATCCTTGGGGATCCAAATCGCACAAGTCACTGAAGTGTGCAGAAGTAGTAAAAGGGAGAGAAGGATCCGAGGAGAAGGTGGTGGAGTGGCTCCTCAATTCATCAATCAAAGAAAGAAGAATAACAAAGGTAACTCAAAAGGACAACTTGGAACAGTCACTCACTTCTGAAATTACTTTACATGCGAAAGGCCGAGTGGACAAATCTGCCGACAGTTCCTCCAATCATCTCTTTCTTAGTCTACCGTATTCTTCTTCTCCAGGCTCTAGTGTGTAAAGGCGAAAAGGGGCGCGGGATGAGGTCTAGACTTGAGACTCACGGACACAGACCATGTGGTAAGTTATTGATTCACTACTATGATTCCAACACCCAGACCTGCAATCATGAGATGTGTGCATGCATACCATGCATATACTTCCTGAGTTGGCACGGCTGCTACCGGATCCCAGTCTTCACCATCGGTTGCCAATTGTCACCTATGGAACGCAATCCTAGGGATGTTGGTACAGTACAAGCTGCGTCCTTATCACTGAAACGGCACTAGTGCTCGGTCTTCCACACTGATGACGATCGGCAATTCGCTAACGAGAATACTTCTGCATGTTGAAAGGCGTGCCTGGTTAGTGGATAAGTGGGTTTTATAATGCCAAGCCTGGAACCCCGAGAACAACAGCCTTTTCACGCAGTCATTTTTAATGGACTGTGATCGCCGAGTCAATGCTCTGTTGCCGCGCAGTGTCATGCTTCTGGCTGTTCCGGGCTTAGAAAAACAGGATCCAAAAAATTAGTGGGAAGAGAAAGGTCGAGGAACTCTCCGAATAAGAAGTCTATGTCAGCGAATCGGCCGCACTCATGATCGGAGCTGCTGGTATTTTGTACCCCCAAAGCATTGGGCGTTGGCTGCGCTTGTGTGTACATTGGCAACAAGATATCCGTATGTATGCCTTGCCCAGCGTTAGAGGAAGATGGCAACAAGACTGGCATGGTCTCTTCTGAAAACCGCGGAGTGCAGACGCTCGGATGGTCTAAGGGTTGCTCATTTTCATGATCGTGCAGCTGGTATTTAGGATTCCCAACGTCGATCTGATGAAGTGCCTTTCGTCCCAGTCGGGCCATCGCCTCTGCGGTAGACCAATAGGCACTTATTCTCTCGAGCAGGACACAGCAGGCTTCTAGGCCGGCCCTGGCTCGATCGAGGTGAGTAATGAGTTTGCTTGAGCGAAATTGCTGGTACGAAACACCCATAGATAGCGTTAAGGCATAAGGAATAATGGGCAGCGGTGGTAACCCTCCGGAGCATTCCGTGGCCACAATGGAATGAATACGGACTGCGGCAAGACCCTGACGAACATACGAAGGTTTCGAAAAATCTGCAGGATGAGATAACCTGTATCTGCAAGCAAGGATGCAAACAGCATGGTAATACAGCTCTAGAAAACCTTTGCTACTATTAGCGATCGCCCATAAGAACGGCTTCTATCTGCCCATATGATCACTCAGTGATGTGGTATTTGATCTGAACAAAACATACCTAAAGTGGCAAAATCCAAGTCGGAACACCGATCTCCGGTGATGCTCTCGAACGTGGGGAAATCTGCTTCCCATCCAACCGTGTGATCCGAAGCTGGTCTGTAGAACGAGATCACCATTGAGAGTTAATCTGAGATTGCAACACATATGTCGAAAGCCGATTTTGTCGCAAAATGATCAACCCGAGGTTTTGCAATTCCGATGTCACGTTCAGACATAAGAACGGGGCGGCCGCCTAAGCAGGCATGCATTCTGTCCAAAGTCCATAAGCACCAAAAGAGACTTGATAGAGAATCTTCCGATCTCCGACCAGGACGATGAAGATGAAGGCCCACTGTCTGAGCCTGGTGAACCGCCTGGCAAAGATGCATTGAGGCCAATTCGGCACCTTCATAGCCTTCGTAGTGCAGAGACATGAGCGCCAAAATACGGATGCGGGTGATCCTGTCGGCTTCCAAGCCGACATTCATGGCAACCACAAGTTCACCGTATATCTCAGAGCAGAATTGATGGGACGTCATAACCTGACCTTCTTCACATAGGCGTAGATAAGGTTCAGCTGCGCGATCTTTTGCTGCTACGAGACATACTGCACGTTCTAGAAACACAGATATCAAATCTCCGGCGTGAGGTGAAAGCAAAGAATCTGGGTCGACAAGGGGCAATATATGATTGAGTTTAGTGAAATAGATGGATAGAAGATGATTCCGCGTCGAACTGGGCAAGCGCTCACAGGTCTTGAATGCAAATTCAGACTGCTGGTGTAATAAAGAAGCAACCAATTGCGATCCGAGGCCGTGGTGGCTGGGAGCATCATGGGCCCGAGTAGATTCAGAGTGAGATATATGCTCTTCACGAGTTTGAACAATAGGAGAACTGACCCAGAGGCCAATTCGGTCTCGCAGCTGGATTCCGTTGGCGAAGTCTAGTTTCTCGCGTATTGCGGCTTCTGGGTTCAAATCTCCGACAAAGCGTTCTGTGCGTGAGCTCTTGTGGATGATCGGAGTGGTAGATGTTGTCCGGGCCGTTGTTACCGTTGTAGATGAATTGGTATCAAGAAGCGATTGCCTCAGGAACCGTGCCTTCACGGCGTTGATTGCTTTGCAGGTTAACAACATCCTCTGTGGCAAGATGACGGCATCGTTTCTATATGGGATCATGAGCACATATATTTATAGCTCAGCATATGCTTTCGTCATGGCGAGTGAGTTGTATGAGGTCAGGAGGGATCTATCACACCTTTTTCCTCTGACAGTGGGCACATGCTCTCAATGCCCTACTGCGTCGTCTACCTTGCGGTATATCGGCGAGCCAGACAAGTCCCATATCTTGTTGACTTGGTTAGTTATCCTGTAAGACACATATGAAACATAACCTACCGAAGGTATAGCTTATCTCGGTGGGATATGACCGGTACGCAAGGCGTGAAATGGGTGTTAAACATACCCGCCGCGCCTATGTCGAGAGTATAAAGAGACTTAGCCGATACAAACCCTCAGACTATACTAGATTCTCTCTGTACGACCTTGTCTGCAAATGTTGACACCCAAAGCTTCATCGGATTCCTGCTGTGGGAGGAGGGGGAACCTGCAGACATTACTGTGTAAATGTTGTTAACGCCAAGTTGTTAGCCTAGGTTGTCGTTTGACATGTATGTACAGTACTATACTACAAGAATGAGCGGGGGGCCCTTTGGCCCTCCCTACGCGATCTGTAGTGCTGGGTTCGAGGTAAGTCGCCGGCCCCAGTCTACGGCATGGGGCTTCGGCGACAGTAGAATGGCTGCGGCAGAATAGGACGGTAAAAAAGTGTTAAAAACAGAACCTGCCAAGTGGAAGTATTCTTTAAATACTATACCGTACTATACCGTACTATACCGTACTCAGTAGTGGTATCAAAATCGACTACTGTAATTTATGGGATGTTATATACAATACAGGACAAATCCAAAGTCGGTACAGTACTGTACTATATAGTGAATTATTTGTAACGTCATATGTTAGGATAACTATTAGCTAAATTTACAGTACTATACCTTCTATGGACAGGACTATAGGCAGGGGATCGTTATTAACACTAATGGTAAGTTCAACGTCAACTATGTCAAACCTTCGTAAGGTCAAGCCGGAAAGCTTGATTTTATTCACAATATAGATCTAGAAGTACAGTTTCCGTAGTATCATGAGCAAAGAAAAAATATTAAAAACAGGAGAACAAATATCAATGTAGACCTTTAAAACCCCCTAATCAGAAGAGTAATAAAGGGTATCTTATGAAGAAAAAGAACTACTCATTCTAGTAGCAGTGCTTTGAGCTAAGACGTTTCTAATAGATGAATTCTCCAAGGATAGGTAATACTCAAGTTAATTGAAATAGATATAGTATACCTATTACAGGACCTACCACTTTGCCTACCGGTATAAGAATGCCAGTGGTGCTGAAATTACTACTACTGCATTCAAAGGTCAGTCAGCCCGGGCTGGTGTTCCATTTCCGAGGACGCGTGAAACTCGCGCGCGACCACGACGCGTGCTTCGGAACTGTCGTTAGTTATGCTCTGTCTGCAGCTGATCATGAAAGTCTCACAATTACTTCATTACTGTCATTATTTCTGCCCCCGCCAATCCGCTCGCCCCGTTTGATGCGTCAGAGCTGGTGAATTCACAAGGTCTAGGTCCCTGTGAGCTCCGTTGTGTCTCGTTTCATTCCTCCTATCTGAGTCTCCTTGCCATTGCCGTCGACCATTGGTCATTCACCCTCCTACCACATACTATCTTAAAAGTCTGCTCGCTGTTTGTGAACACGCAAACCCAATTGCAATATGGCCAGTCAGGCGGGCACGAAACGAGATGCGGATCATCTCAAGAACCCAGCCGCAGATCGAAAGAAGTCCAGGGTCAACGGTAGCATAACTTCTTTCTTCAGTGTTCCCAAGCCCTCAGTCTTGGTTGAAACTATGCCATCGATCAGGCCCCCGTCCAACTTTGATAAGCAGAAATGGGTGGCTTCATTAAACCCCGAGCAGAGAGAACTCCTTCAACTTGAGATTGATACTTTAGATGAGAGTTGGTTGGCACAACTCAAGGACGAGGTATTGAAGCCGGAATTCCTAGCTCTGAAGCGCTTTCTGCAGAAGGAAAAGCGATCGGGAGCTAAGATTTTCCCCCCAGAAGAGGAAATCTACTCTTGGTGTGTTTTAAGCCTCAAATGTCAAATAGAATTTAACGGCTAATACAGCTTTAGGTCCCGCCACACCCCTCTACACAAAGTCAAAGCAGTAGTGATCGGGCAGGATCCCTATCACAATCATAACCAAGCTCACGGTTTGGCTTTTTCCGTCCGCCCGCCAACCCCAGCTCCCCCATCCCTCGTCAATATTTACACGGGGATCAAGAATGACTACCCTTGTTTCCAGCGACCACCGAATAAAGGCGGACTTCTGACTCCTTGGGCTGAACGGGGAGTACTTCTTCTCAACACATGCTTGACGGTCCGCGCACATCAAGCTGCCAGTCACTCGAACAAAGGTTGGGAACAATTCACTCAGAAAGTCATCGACTTGGTGGCTCGAGTTCGTACTCATGGCGTTGTGTTCCTGGCATGGGGGACGCCGGCCGGGAAACGGGTGACAGGCATCAATAGAGAGAAGCACTGCGTCTTGCAATCAGTTCATCCAAGTCCGTTAAGCGCATCTAGAGGCTTTGTGAGTCAGAATTTCGGCCATACAGGCGCAGAATACCATGCTGATTACTCTTGCGGCTACAGTTCACCAACCAACATTTCAAGAAATGCAACGATTGGCTATCCGATCGTTATGGCCCAGAAGAGATAATCGACTGGAGTCTAAGCTCCAAGAATAAGACAAATAAGCCTCTCACCAATATTCAACGCCCTGCTACAAATGAGGCAAACAATCATGAAGACCCAGCGGTGAAATTATCCAATGCTCATTACGAGCAAGTATTTCATCATGATTCGGAAACACCCATCCCTAACGAAAAGGCCGATGAGTTCGATGAGGATTTAGATGCATTGGAAGTACTGGCGGCAGCAGACTCGATCACTTGAGCGTCAGGGAGAACGTCGCATCCTATAACTCATGCTCTATTGGCCCGAATACCTTTGGGTAAGAGCCAAAGGCTATGCATAATTATTCGCCATCATTGAATCGATCATTTCAGGGTGACAGTTGATAGAATGTGGGGTCGCGATACAATACGTTGTGTGGTTCTTAAGGCACGCATTTGTGGTCATATGGCACGCGCGTAAATGCTTCAATGTGCTAATTATCAAATTCATTCCATGGAATAGCTCTAGGATTGGGTCACATCATTCCGAGACGGGGTCGAACATAGATCAAGAGGAATTCAAGGATAGACTGGTTTGACTCCCAGCTACGCACTAATGCATCCCTGCACTTGATTGAGCATCATACACCGAGACACGTAAAACGTGAAAGTCCTGTGTTCCATTGGTCTTGCATTACCAGGATTCCTTGGTCTGGCGATTTAAAAGGACGCCAAATCAACCTTGGCAGATACGCACGTGAGAAAAGAGATAAGAGTTAGAGCGGAGACGGAAAGGGACAGGCTAGATTGAGGATAATAAGATACAATTCATTAGAGGGACCAGGAACTTCCAGAACAATTAGAGTTCATCATGCTCCACCGCTTCTTCTTTGGCAGCTTCCGGGGCCTCGTCTTCAGTGGGGGCTGCAACAGGGGGAGTAGTGACGTTCGCATCTCCCTGCTGCTCCTCAGGCTTCGCATAGGCATCAACCTTGTGCTTACCATTCTCAAAAATGAAATTGGCGAGGTCCTCAACTGTGCGAGACCCTTCATACTCAATTGGAGAATCCTTGGCGCCGGCTGGGTACAGTCTAATTGTTGGGAAACCAGTGATAGGGTCAGGGACATCGTTGGCTGTCGCATCGATTTTGGCGACAGTAACCTTGGCCGCAAGGTCAGGGTTGTTGACATAAAGACTAGCAAGTTCATCGTACTTTGGAGCAAGACTGTCGAAGCTGGTCAGTTGTGTCCGCTTGACGAATATGGAAATCAGTAGGAGAAAACATACGCTTTGCAGTGCCCGCACCATGGCGCATAAAACTCCAGAAGAACGTCCTTGTCGTTATCAACAACAAGCTCCTTATAAGAGTGCGCCACAACAACGGTCACTGGGCCATCCTGAGTCTCCGGGATAGGCTCTGACTTGATGCTAGGCTCGATCTTGCCGTGAAGAACGTCTTGGATGAAGATCTCCAGATCTTCCACCTTGAGTTCCTTGGACTGGTCATATGGGTACTTGGCATTCTTGGCAGGATCTTGAATGGCAAAGGCAGGGAAGTTCTGGGGATCGAGGTTGAGGTTTCCTGCGTGCGCACCGAACATCTTGGCATCAATAGTAGCGATGTTGATAAAGCCTCTGTGCTTCTCCGCGATCGGCTTGAATTCCTCGGTGAACTGTTCCCGCTCTTCCTTTGTTTCGGCGAAAATGTATGCGAGGGGAATGCCGGCCTTCGAGAATATTGATCAGTGGGACAGGACACACAGGCCTACTTTTGGAAGAGCAGGCATTGGATCGCCTAGAACTTTCAGGCTATCCACTTACTGTGATGTACCCAGAGTAGGTCTCGGGTCCGATTTCGCCCACAAGGGGAGTGCTAGCGGTCTTGACCCAGCCGAGTAGAGCCTCTTGGTCAATTTTGCCATCGTAAACTGCCTTTTTCTCGTCGAAGTCCTTGTAGAGAACAAAGGCCGGCTGTTCGACACCCTCCACCTTGGCGATGGCAGGGTCACTTGCTTCCGCGAAGAGGTAATTATCCCGCTGGGATTCGGCAAAGGTCTCGAACGCGTCATGTGTCGTTTTATCTTCCGGATCAATGTAACCGATGACGACGATTTTGTCCATAGTCTTGATATCTTCAAGGTTCTCACCATCGACAGGTGACACGGCAGGAAGAGATTGCTTAATCATGTAGGACACAATACTGATAGGTTGAAGGTAAGTAAGAATCTATCAACTCCATCACACCAAAGATAACGGGAAAGGATAATGACAGAAAAGTATCGAGGTGAACTCACGATTCTGCTTGACGCGCACCCTGATAAGGCTTGCTCGAGTCGGGTCCACGGAAGATCTTCAAAGTCGGATAGCCCTCAACGCCCTGACCCCGACACAGATCCTCCTCTACAGTGCAGTCGATCTTTACCAGAGGAATATCCTTTGCCTTCAGCTCTGTAGCTGCTTCCTCATACTTGGGAGCGAGAGCCTTGCAGTGGCCACACCAGGGCGCAAAGAATTCTGCAAGCACCAGATCATGTTCCGTCATGAAGCTTTCGAACGTGTCCGTGTTCAGTGAGATGACATTAGACTCGGCGTCCGCAGCGTCCGCAGCGTATACTACGCTTGATGCGCCGAGGAGGCTGAGAGCCAAGGGGGCGAGAGATCGCATGTTGGCTGGAATGGCTGACGGTAGTATGAAGCT